AGGAGTGAATAATGTTGTGCTATGTCAATGCGCCTATAGACATGTGTTGTTAACAATGGTGTTAAACCTTGTTCGACCATCAATGATGCTGCATGAATATTAACAATTTTGCAACAACAGTTGATGGTTCAATAAAATTTAACAACTATTTGAGAATAATGTTGTTCACAGTGTGCAGTGCAACATTGTTTACTCTTTTCCTAAACAACTCCACGGATTGAAAAGACTTTCACGTGCGTTCATGGAAACGGAAATTTACACTTACACAAAACCATTAATAACAACGCATTTCATTTTGCTTACGTGAGTGCGTATTACGCTTAATACAATTTTCTAGAAATAACGATAAAAACTTCTAGAAATAACGATAAAAACGAAAAAAAAACGGCAAAAAAATTACTAGACTTACTTCAGTTAAACATGCATAATGAATTCTTACTTTTCCCATTAAATCTTAAATGGCGAAAAATATATACAGTCACTTTTCCAAAGACTCATGCAATTGCCTTAGCATTCAGTGACTTCATTGAGTTCTTCTTGGTTTATTATGGACTGTTTACTTGCACAAATTTGATAAAAAGTAGAATTTTCTACTACGATAAACTACGATAACAAACAGAGTTGTAATAAAAAGTGAAGAAAAAAAATATACTAGACTTACTATAAGTTAAAGGCATAATAATGATGAATTCTCGCTTATTTCAGTGATATCTAAAACAGCGTTAAATGATCACTGTTCAATGATCACTTTTTCAAAACATCAATTGCTCTAGCATTCAGTGACTTCATTGAGTTCATCTTGATCTATTAGCTCACATCTTTCATCACTTGCTTTGACGGTTTTACCAACAACTGATCCTTGATTCTTATTGTCGTCAAAAATTCCAGAATGTAAATTTTCTTTTGACACCAACTGTAAATTTTCATTATCATGGAATGTTCTTTGCGATCGACTACGTCGTCTTCGTATCAATATTACCAGCAGTATTATTCCAAGTAATAAAATTAGACCAACAATGATATAAGCCAAGTTCGGAAAAGACAAAAATTCGTTTTCCTGTGATCCTAATTTCCGGTTGAGAATTTCTTTTTCTGCCGATGATAAAGTAATGGAAATAATAAGGCACATACGTAAACACAAACCAGTCCTTAACAAACAGGTTCAGCATTTTGATACTATTTTTCAGATATAAATTTTTGTCTGTCGTGTTGTTCTACTTATCATGCATATCTTGTATCCTGTTATTCTCTCAATCATTGTTGTAAATAATTATGAATATGATACATGCAAGATGATACTCAATGAATAACGTCTGCTTTATATATTCAACAATGTAAATAACTAACTCATTCGCACTGTAGATGGCTAATGGTTAAGTCAAAGCAGGTTTGCTATTAAAGATTTTGTTGTTTATTTCAAATGCTTAATTACTCTTTTGCTATTCAGATCATATGGTAACATCCAAAGAGTCTTGATTTTTTGAATACGGTAATAAAATAGGTTTCAAAATTTAAACATCCAGTTTCGGACAAATTTCGTGTAAGTGTAATCTAATAGCAACACTAAATGTACGGTATGACGATTCTCCATTATTATAAAAACATTTACTATGATTATTAAAAATAGATACCTTCACAATTATACCCATCTCCTGTGAAGCCCTCTTTGCAATTGCACTCAAATGATCCATTAGTGTTTAAACAATCTGCATTTGAATCACAAGACACCTCTTGTTCGATACACTCGTTAATATCTGGAACAAACGTGATATTTTTAACATTGAAAAATTTATCAACACTGGTAATTGCATACTGCAAAAAAATTAAACAGAACGTTAGAAAGGCATTATAAAGATATGGAATTTGGATCATTCAATCTAGATTGGACTTTTCTCCGATTGAACTAAATTTAAAACTATGAATGGTTGGAAACAGCACACCAAATTTGGAATGTTTCATTTGAAATAAATTGTTGTAAAGTGTGAAAAATATCGCAATTATGAAATGACTTAAATGTTTAAAATGCTAATGTTTAAAATTTTTCGAAAACAAATACAGTCGTAAAGATGAAATGAAATCACCCGTTTGCCTGCTGTACTACGTTGCATAAGTTATAGACTTTCACAGCTTTTTTAAGTGAGAGCTGATCTTTCACTATACTACAGCTAAACTTCCAAAACAGCACAAATAATTTAAATAACCAGGCACTAAACGTCAAATGCTGTTTTTCTTTTTTTGAAATCATGCAGTCGACTCCATAAAAGATTCAAAGTCATATTTTATTGTTATGTCAAAACTCCGATAATTACTCTTTAAGAACTCTTTTTCAAGTTAAAACATAGGTTAAAACGATGATGATAAGCCGTATATAGTTGGTTAGGTCTTTGCAAAACGACACACACCAAGCTCATAAAATGCATTATTTTGTAGAGCAAACACGAAATAAACAAAGTTGACACCTACCACTTCAAGTAATATAAACTATACGAGTTGCTAGTAATATTTTAATCTCTTCCCAATGTTTATATCATTTTATTCGATTTCACATTTCATATTCTGTTTTATACGAAATATTTCTTAAAAAAAATTGTTTGCGAAATGATTTTCATTATTTAAAAAAATAATTGTTGACGTTTTTCATTGAAATAGAAAATTTTTGTTTTTATTACGCGTTCAAATTTTGCGCGTACGCACGAGTACCGTGACCATTGAATGTACAACGTCCACGGTCCATGACATAGAATTTGGACAACTTTGGATTCGACTACGCTCTCCCGGGTTCCGGGTATATAATTCCTAATCACCAGCCGGAATTACTGCCCTCACACGGTGATCCGCACCAGCTTGGGCAAAAAATTAATAAATTTCAACTGTAAAATTATTTATTATATTATTCTATATAAAAACAGTAATATCATGCGCGAGGGGTACAAAGAGTTAACTCGGGTTTTAATTTCCCAACTCATCGTAAAATTATTAATTTTAATAGTAGTTGTAAGAAAAAAGTCCTTTGGCTTCATCAAGACTTTAGTCAGTGCTCCAATTCTTTCTGCAAGCTCTGGATTGCAGGTTTTTGTTGCAGGCAAAACACTTACCTTTGCAACTATGTCCATTCCCAGTGTATCCCTTCCTACAGTTGCATAAAAATGATCCAATAACATTGGTGCAATTCGAATTAACGTCACAGCTGCCAGTAGGTGAAGAACATTCATCCATGTCTAGAAGGAAAAACACAAGAATGTCAGGAAAATTAAATAAATATTCTTCTTATATGATAAATAAAAGTTATGTAATTTTGCATTGTTTCTAAACGAAATGGAGTATATACATGAGCAGGTTATGAACTTCGGGAACCGAATATATTCACTGGCATAAATACTGCTGCTCATACAATAATTATTGCAAAGATCCGGTGAGGGCACCAATTTTGCTGGGAGATTGCTTAGGATTACACCAAGGTATTGTAACGCAGCATGTGTTGTGTTTCGCATTGCTATAGCATGCAGGAGTATGTAAAGTGCTAACCTTTGCAACTAGCTCCGTCTCCTGTGTAACCATGTTTGCATATGCACTCAAAACTTCCAACTGTGTTAACACAACGAGAATTATCACCGCAGTTGTCCAAACTTCGAGAACATTCATCAATGTCTATGTAAATATAACAGAAAAGAACATATTCTTTTAATTTTAATGAAATATTACAAAAAAAGAAGCATGGGAAACGACGAAGTACTTTTATGTCAGCTTAATTTCGGTTAGATAATGGTCGCACATGCACATAGGATAGTATAATGACGGAAAAATTCCAAACCTTTTTATATTTTCAACAGCAAATTATGTAGCAAAAACCATGCACAATTTTCAGAATGTTACCTTTTAAACATTCCACAGCAGCGAATTCGGAATTGCTACAAGTATCGTTTGTCCAGCCATCGTGTGCACAACTGGTTATATTTTTTTCATTACCAGTACAAGATATTTTCTCCAGCCACATAGTTGTTGAAACGTTTTGTTGTGTTTGTCTTTTAAGGACGTTTAAAACATGAGCATAACCAAGTTCTCGACAAACAACCTCAGCAGCATTCCTATCCCAGCCATCCCCACAAACTGCTCCCCACAGTCCATCGTAGAAAACCTCCACGAGACCAGAACCATTTGAACTTGATTGCCCTTGTAACCTGACAGACATCGCTAAAGATTAAAAAAGAAATTCATGAAGGCGTAATCTAATTTTTATTAAACCACTTTGACAGCCGCTTATTTTGGGAAGTTTCTTTCGTTTGTCGGAATATTACCTGCAAATACTCGTAAATATGGCTTCCGGCCATTACGTCACTATTGGGTCACGCATAGTCTAGTCATACAATTGTCAAAATTTAATGTCTTAGCACGGGTTATTAGAAAATAGCTTGATATAAACAATGACTATGTTGATATCTTCATAACTCTCCATTTAGTTAAACCCCTTTACAGAGAGGTCACATAATTTGCGCGTTGGCCAATCATTTCCAGTGTGGAAAAGCCCTAATACCACGGGAACGTTTTCCTACCATGATGCAAAACATTTAGCACATTTTATACAATTGCAACTACTCGAAAACATTATTTTTACTTAAATTCTCTGGAGTCAAAAAAAGCAGACAAATTTTTCGCACTTGCCTAAAAATTTTCGGCCGTACAATTAAATTTAACGATTTAATTATAACGCAATTGCGCAAGTTTGCAATGGATCAATAGTTTGTATAAGATTTCAAGCAGAAGTCAGCTTTCCTATTTACCACGGCAAGCGGATCCATTCCAAAAATATCCCTTGTCGCAACTGCAAAAATAAGATCCAGCAGTGTTGGTGCAATTTGAGCTAGCCAGACAATTGTCCAACGATAGAGAACATTCATCGATATCTAAAGAATAATAATAATGATTCAAATTAGACCGTATTACGTGAAAAACATTCGTTAACGTACCTATTTTACCTCATTGTGAGAATTGCAAAAACCTACCATTGCAGACCAAACCATTTCCAGTATAACCAGTGTTACATTGACATATGAAACTTCCCCAAGTGTTAATACATGTAGCATTCCAGCCACATCGCCAACTGCTCAGACATTCATCTAAATCTGTGTAGAATAATCAAACCAGAGTATCAGATAAAATTTTATTTTTTTGCATAGATATTGGATGATTTGCACAACCCCTCATCAAGCGGACAATGATACCTGTTGAGGTACACTCTACTCCAGCATCTTTTTCATGGGTGCAGTTATAACCCCTCCTTCCTCGAACGTCGCGAAAACAACTAGACAGTTTTGGTTCATATCCCGTACAATCGACATCGTCGAACCAAATCGGCTTAGATGCAAATAGAACGCGCCTTCTTTCAAAAGCTCTAACAGCATACAAATAGCCAAGTTCACGACATGCAACAAGAGCATCATGTATATTCCAGTTATAGTCACAAATTGTTCCCCATTGTCCATTATGGAATACTTCCACAAGACCAGTTCCATTTGAACTTAATGGTCCTTTTAACCTGATATCTTTTCCTGTAAAGGAATCAGCTACAATCAGGTTTGCTTAGGGATTATAAACTACGGCAGATTTATCACATTCATGATCAAGTTCGACCATTTTCGTAATTCCATCTTGCGTTTGGTTCTATCTGAGCAATTTTTTTCAGTTTTGGATACAGATAAACGTGTGTTATAAAATTACGTGCATGTTACCCACACTACACTGTGATTTTGTCTGTGTTTTCAAAAGGGTTTTAAAGTTTGCAAAGATTTAAAACGATAGCAAGCCATACATGACATTGTGTAATACGTCAAACAACCTATAAAGGCTACTGTTAATAACCTTGAAAGTAGAATTGGTAGCCTATAAATCAATTTGCAATCATCATACGATTTTAAATAAAATCGCAAAAGTTTTACCCTTGCAAGAAGTTACATTTCTAGTTTCTTGATCATCACAAATACATTGATAAGACCCCTCCATGTTGATGCAGCTTGAATTGGGAAGGCAGTTGTCAGTAGATAGAGAACATTCGTCTATATCTAAAACGGATGCATTCGTTATAGGTTGTGAAATTAACGAATAATTAATGAGGTTTATACCCAACCAAATTCTATGAATTAGGTCATATTCACTCTGTATACCCCAAATAAATAGGAGTAATAAATATGCAAATCAGTTACATACCCTTGCATCGGTAAAATACAACAACTATAGTTTTTGTAACTGATTTGCATATTTGTGACCTTCCACGGGAAAACGTACGTTAACGATATTTCGTTGAAACGGCAAAACGAACGGATAACGAACGGGTAGTGAACGATCTGTAATAACGTTTCAACGAACCCAAAAAACGTTTTGACGAATTCAGCTAAAAATGTGAACGTTTAAAGTCGAGAATACGAACGGATAAATAAACGTTCAATCTGAAGCCGTTTGAACGATTTATGTTTATGAACGGTTTTAACGAATTAGTCTGAACGCCTGTTGCGCGTATGATTGACGCAAGATATTATTGACTAATTAAAAGAATAGGAAATATTTTCAAACACATAACATGTGTTGGCGCAAGTATGCGTGTACATATAAATAGCTATACCTTCATTTGAATGTTTAACTAAATTTATTAGCTAAACTACCTAAATCACTTTATTTTATACTTTATATACATATATACATTTGCATTTTGCATCAAAATTCGGGTTTATTAATCGTTAGAAATTCTTCAGTTATTAGTACAAATTATCATCGTTACGTCAAATTAATCAATGCATCATCTGCAACTATACCCATCAAAATATTCAGCGCGTGTTTATTTGCAACAACGTAACAGATTTTGTAAATCTCTCCACGGACAAACTATATGTATGGGTGGTTAAGGACATATAAACACATCATGCATGCATCCGTTTTATTAACACGGCTCTAAACCGAGAGTAAACGAAGATTGCCATAAATGGCCTGCATGGCTTCGATAATAATATCATAGGCAATGTCATTGGTCACCGTCTAAGTTTCGTTGAGTTTCAGCTACTGGATACATATTTTATGTTAAACTAAACACAAGAGATTCCATTGTACACTATTGCTTATACTCTTTGACGCGCAAAAGACTAAATTAATTATCGCAAGGATCAAGTTGTTTACAGATGATAACCAGACATTAATAACAGTTATACAGAATATCGCATACGCAAAGCTCGTTTGTATACGAACCAGCGTAGTAACGTGTGCTTGCATGCTGTCAAAACTTATTTGGTATAAATAGCCTACTACATTAAATATCCCAACCATTTATGCACGTGAAAATCCACATTTCAATTTCAGCAATGCATTGCGCGGTAATAAAATATTTAAAATATAAGCTTGGATATTTACCTAGTGCTCACAATATGTTCGTGCGGCAATAGCCTCTAGCTGCGGTCAAGCTTGTCGCGGAATGTCGCCTATACACAGTACTGTCAGTAGCAACTAAGGGCATCATTATACCTTAAGAATATTTAAAAATTTGATAATAATCTATTTTATCCACTGCATGCACCATCGCCATATTTTCTTCGCAAAGCTAAAGCTGCAATGTCCCTATTTCTGCCGCCATATTTTTTCATGTAAGTGATATGTTTTGTGACCATACGATCACATATGCATGTGTTATGACTTATGAACCAGTATATCGCTAATTAATACTTGTGATATTAAATTAGTTAACTAAATTCCTGGTGGTCATATTCATCAGGAAATATTTTATTTTCCCCAAATATTCGACCATCTACATAGGTAACTGTGTAAATACCTATGCTACCTGCATGAGCCTAACAATAGTGACCTAAAGAAATAGAACGCGCGTAAATTAATGGGATAATTTTCGAAATCTTCATTTCAAACCACCGCAATCCCGAAGGTCCGAATTCAGTTCCGCCCTGCAAAACAACTTAATACTCAACCCCGGCAGCAAGAAAAGATTGCACAGTATTTTCACTAAAGCATATAGCAATAGCAGACGCCCATATAAACCGGGTTTTTAAATCACAAAGAGTGCAAATAATTTTTTCTGCAAAGCATATAGCAATGCTGCCGCCCATATAGAAACGACAATGCCAAATGCATGCACAGGGGAGTTTATACTCACCATTTTAAGAAACAAACGATCCTCAACATCTTCGAGACATCTACTTGTGACACAATTTGTGCCTCCTGCTTACAGTAAAATTAACTAATCAAGATTATTTAAGACATGCATGAAAGCATTAATCCATTTTGTCTGGCGAAATCTTTTTATATCATATAATTATATATATTTCGAGGTAGCATCTACCCTTTTTTATGAAAAATGTCAGCAAAGTTTGTAAACAATTGTTGTTTCAATGTAAGTAAATGCATCCTATAAATTGTAACCACCACGGCCCAAGCTAACAACTTTTCTAACCTCAGCCAAGCCATTTTCAAGGTCTGGCAACCTTTCATGTCATGTTTATTCGGAATGATTGGATGATCGTGGCCCAACTTGATTCCACCGGCCATGATAAGCAATCTAAAGATTATATTGCAGTGCGCATTTATATCCGAATACATTTTACTCGCGTTAACATATACATAAAATGCAATTGAGAACGTCTTGTTATATACAATTGCATGATCATCTATATATGAAATCTTACTTCGAATGCGTGTCATATTTCGATATATATGCATGGTCAATAGAGAGCTACAGTTTAGCCAAGCAAATACACTCAAGGGAAAAAAAACTTTAGTTTAAATCGAGAGAACCGTTATACGAATTCTGTTGATGATTTCATCAATAAGCCTGATTTCAATGCTTGGAGGAAAATAATTGCAAGCGCGCCTAATAAAGTGGCCAAGTCATGACTTTTCTTATATCATAGCTAATGTTTCATTTAGTGTTCATACCTGGTATTAACCTTTATATATGCTTGCGTTAAAACGCCTTGACTTCTCCATAGATGCTAATATCCTGCAAATATTTGGGACAGTCTTCGCGAAATTATTGGTAAAGATCTTTACCCGCGCGCTCATGCACGCATAAACAGTTGACAGGCGCCATTTCAAATTTGCTCATTTTGCCGCTCTAGCTGGCAGGCTTCAAGGTGCAATGACCATGCATAATTGCAATTTAATATCCGGAATGTAATTTCTAATCAAGGGAGCCCAAATCAAAATTAGTGAAAATTTTCCTGTTGCCCAACAGCTGATATGTTGTCCAAGCAAGATAAATTCCAATGCTCCTTTTCTGATGAATTATATATAGCGAAATATATGTGGCAAAATATCTGAAAGGTCAAACTTAAATGTTTGTAAACGTTAGCTTGGCAACTTGCCCTTTGGGCTTGTGTCAGCCCAGTTGTGCGCAATGAAGGACTGCACGCACTTTAAAACATAGCGCAAAACTCAACCTCACAAAACACGGAATTTTTTTTGTAATAAAAAAGTCACACAATGAACATCATTGATATAGGTTCATTACTCTCATACAGTCTCTATCATTTATACGATTTGAGCCTTTTCCGCGTTCCACGTTTCCGATTCGAGGAGCAAGTCGAGAGAAATCAAATTACAACCAAAATATACATGGGGAGTGAATTGTGCTGAAATGTGCATATATCAATATATATATGAAGTATTTTTTTGTGAATTAAGAGTCTAAATAAATATTTACAATGCATGAGTTATATTTATGCCATATATAAGTTATATTTATGCAATTGCCACCGTTCAACATGCCAGCAACGATCGAGCCAGATGGCTTAGATCTGGGGAGACAAAGATACCTTTTTAAGGAAATAAGACAATTTTGTAAGCGGGGCACTGAGGATCTTGTTGCTCCGGCTCTAGTTTTAGACTAGATGCACCTACATATTTAAATTGCTATATTCATGCAGTGGCGTAACGAACAGAGCCAAGGATGGGGTCTTGAAGTATACTTGGTACTGCGGGGTCCCTTAATTCGCTGTTTGTCATAAATCACGTTTTGCTTATACTATGATGTTTCGTTATCTATCCTGGCCTCCAATAAATGAGGATCTCTTAGTTCTTGTCGTAACCCTACCGAACGCGCGTTAGGTCACTGTATTTATGTCTTCAAATATTACCTAGGGTATTTCAATTGTTGTATAATTTGTAGCTATCTCAGACTGCATTAAAGACAACGAATTTCAAGCTGAAAGGTCTGTCCTAGGATGCGGTTCTTAATTTTGAATAGATTTTAATCAGTAGCTGCTTCGTACGGAGGCCAGATAAGTTTATCAGATGTAAATAAATTAGCTATATATACACATGGTTTAAAAGTACGATATTAATATGTAACACGCAAAATCCCTCAATTCATTTTAAAATCTGGTTTTGTCTGTTTACATACATTTAGAGACTTCCGACAATTATGCAACTTAATTAGCACCTTGCCAAGGCATATTATGGCTCGTAATGCTAATATATGGCTTGCGAGTTGTTTGGGTGCGCGGTGAAATTTGGCTTATGGAAGCTACAGAAGTATAGTAAAGCACAAATTGTAACCATTTAGTGCATTACCGAAATTCAAAAAACGATAATTTTTTGAAAGAAAGCTTAAGACGTGAAATTTGACGCTAATGGAATAATTGCATGCACTGAATCTTAATAGCCTTCTGTCTGCATGACGCTAAGCATAAACCATAACATGAAGCGCACAAAATAGCATTCGATTAGGCTAAATTGATAGAACCCCACTATTTCCTTTACAAGCCTTCTATACTAAGGAACTGAATACGTTTCTGGGAGTATTTCTGTGTAGCACATTCTGCGCTTCTTCTACAAAGTTGTAGCATTGCAAATGTTTAATCTAATATGTTGAACCAAATCCAATGCGATTGAACGAAATTCCGGCAAACGTTTCAACGAACAGTAAATCAAACGGTTGAACGCTTTCGGACCAATTTTCAAACGTTTTTTCCTAAGCGTTCGAACGGGCAATTTCGAACGATGAACGATCTCGAAAATCGTTTCAACGAACGCTTCAAGCGTTTGAACGGCAAACGAACGGATAACGAACGATATTTTCGAACGAACGAAATAGCGTTAACGTATGTTTTCCCGTGGAAGGTCACATTTATTCAAATCTTATTTATCACAAATTTATTTCACAAGTTGTTCACAACACTCGCAGCCGTGTTATATTGAGTATACAATACAAACGAATATTACATGTTATACTAGCCCCTTATATTATGCCCCTCGCCTCGGTTAAACGAAATTAGTTAAGCATAGGGATGGTAACATGATAGTTAGAAAATGCGCATAATGTAGAAGACCTCCATGGCGTGAGCATAGAGATTATAATCTATACGATTATTACATATTTTTCAAGTCAAGGCTGAGGAGGTTATAGCAAGACGAATGCCATTGGCCAATTTAGCCAAAATAAAATAGACACGTGATGAAAAAGGAACAATTTTTTGCATAAACCTGGACACTAACATATAAATAAGTTGTATCGTACTTTTATTTAGTCTCTGCGCTAGCAGATAGTGTCCAGAGGAACATAACCCGGTAGCGGATATATAACCCCGATGTTGGTTCATTACTTTGTTATTGATTAATTTAAATAACTTTCGACTAACCAGTGCAATTAATGCCACTTCCAGTATAACCTGGATTACACTCGCATGAAAAACCACCAACAGTGTTAATACACCTGGAATTTTTGTCGCAGTTGTCCATTTTCAAAAAGCATTCATCGATATCTAGGAAAAGAATAATTTAAACTTTAATAAATTTAATTGATTTTGATGTTTGCCGTTGTTTTTTCCTATTGAACAAGGAACACGCGTTCACGCGTTTTTGAGCTTTGGAGCGAAGCACGGTTCGCTATGTTTACAGAAAAACGAGTTTGAAAGTGGCCATGTAACCTACTTGGGACACGTCGTCGGGCAAGGTCAAGTCAAGCCTGTCGACGCAAAGATCATAGCCATCGCAGAATTTCCCCGAGCAACAACGTAGTAGAAACGTGTAATGCGTTTCCTTGGCATGGCAGGCTACTACCAGGTTGCCTTCGAACAGCTCAAGGAAATGTTTAAAGAAGCCCCGGTCTGCACCCGATTTTATCCTTTCATTTAAATTAGCTGTCGATGCGAGTGTCGCCGCAGCTGGTGCAGTGTTACTTCAGGAAGACCAGGATGGGATCGATCATCCTGTGTGTTACTTCCCCCGTAAGTTAATTCAACAATAACCAACGAAATTACTCAACTGTGGAAAAAGAACGCGCCGCCTTTATATATAATGGTCCTTCAACACTTTAATTACGTATCCTATATGTCTCCTCTACCAACACCCGTTTATTGTGTTCAGCGATCACAACCAACTAGTCTTTCCACAAGCTCAAGAACAAGAATAAGCGCCTGTTGCGGTGGAGTCTAATACTCAGAGTATAACATCAACATAGTGCATATCAAATGCCAAGACAATACCATAGCGGATTGCCTTTGACGGCCATAACGTCAAATGAACTGAACTATAAAAAAGAAAGTTCCCAAACGTTCTTTTTTCAAGGGGAGAGGTATTACGTCTAGCCATTATTTCATTTTATAACAATTTATATAATATATTTTTAATATAACCGTATAGCATTCTCTTCAGACTTACATGAATGACCAGCAAAAAAATTACAAAGATGAGTAAGGAAATCCACAACTTATCCCCCAAAGCCGTAACAAGGTGTCGGCCACAAACCATATCGTGCTACAACGCACTCACTGTATAGCGTAGGGGAAATGATTTGCAGTTTTAGCGCTTTCCCTAGCCAAGCGTATGAAGCTTGAGCACAATCAACCACGAGAGAGAAATGCGTATAGCATTCTTCGTAAGGGCAGTGCCTAAATATTATATTATTGCAAAAAGAGAAGAAACAAACAAAAGCAGTTAAAGTTGAGGACAAGGCATTGTGGAGATATATTATTTCTTAAGGTCCAAATGTTATAGAAACGTTGATTCTCGTTCCTTGAAAGTTAAGGAATAAATTATTGTTGTAAATATAATTGACTCACATTGTGTTTGTTGCAAGTAGAAAAAGAACCACCAGGAGTAAATAATTATGATAGTTTATAGGACCTTAATAAAATAAGCAATCCCGTGGCGTTACTAGGAAGTTCATAGGAAGTTGATAAAAAAGCAATCCAGTGGCGTGCGTTACAATCTGGTCACTTGCAAAGATTTTGAATGTAATCACTATAAGCACTATATATAGTGTATAAAGACCCATTCAGGAGAGATGCGAAGTTCAAAATGTACCCTACAGCTTCAAACCAGAGGCTTCAAACAGCGTGTAATATGCGTTGACTACGGTGAATATTTATGTTTTGTATACCTGAATTAATTTTAATGTTCAAATGGTGAATGACATTGGCGTGTCGATCGCCCTCGACAATTTTTAAGAATAAAATAATTTATAAACAATGTTTTCGATTTGTTATATGATAAAATATTCTTAAAACTCACCTAATTTCAGTGAATTCTTGCTTCTTATGTGACAATGTGACAAACCAGCGAAAGCGTGCAGGTTAATTGGACCGGCAAATGGCCAAGAAGTCAGACACAAACCAGCAAAATTATTCATTGAAAAAGCTTTTAATTGTCTCGTGGTAGAATTGTAAAACCACCTTGGTCTTGCATTTGGTCCATCACAATCGTGAGTGAGAATAACCATCCTCCATGACTTTGGGGTGTGAAGACATTTCCCAGTTTTCAATTCCTGAAGAACGTTTCCGTTTATGAAACGAAAATGGGCAGTTTGACGGGTTTTTGCAAATCCAACAAAATCGACATTTTGGTATGTATAACGGTGCAAATATCCGTGGGTGTCTGAGCCAATAATGTACGTATTGTAGCCGGTAGCTAAACAAAAAAAGAAATTTTGCGGTGGTTTTGGATGTGGTGATTCAATCACCCAATTTCGATTCAAATGCATGGTTAAAAAATCTACCATTTTGAAGCTTCTTCAGCGTGTTATTTGAACGGGTAAATGGAGAGATTTAATAACTTCTTATAGTTAAATGAGCACGAAGTCGGTTCAAAAAGACCTCGGTCCGACATTTCTTGGTAAAGACCGAGCAAGCGAGGTTAATAAAAAGTTTATTATATGGCGTAAGTATTAATAGTATTTGCACATGAAAAAAACAAGAAATGCATGAATTCATATTAGTAGCCTGTCACGCATTTGACAGAAACAAAAAGAAATGTTGAATTAATTACTTTACCTAAACTGTCTGGAGACGTCTTATTAATTCCAAAAGCAATTAAATTTTCTCTTGAGCATTTTACTGGTGCCTTTTCATTCAGAATTTCTCTGTTTTGCAGCCGCTAACGCCGGTCAATTACGGAAAAGTGCTGACAAATGTATGACAATTCTTTGAAGTCATTAATCATGCAATTTCGTTTAAAATAATTGTAGATTATACAAGGGCTGCTTGCAGCCTGAAGTGTAATATTAATTATACGAGAAATACGAGGCGAGATTTAACAATGCAATATCTCTTTATTCACTCCAAAATACAGTGTTTAAAAGTAAACTATTAACATAACATCAAGTAACTAAATGTCTAACATAACACCGCTGGCTGAACCTTGGGCTTTGTCTTTGGAATGAACGACGTAACTGAAAATAACAAAATAACAATGCAACATAGAAGGGTGGGATATAAGGGTGGGATTGCATTGTTAAATCTCGCCTCGTATTTCTCGTATAATTAATATTACACTTCAGGCTGCAAGCAGCCCTTGTATAATCTACAATTATACTTCAAAATACTCGGCTCAATTTAACAATGCATGTTCAAAGCCCTTTATGTGTTAGCTGACAAGACAGCCCTAGCTGGAGCGGTATTAAACTGTGGGCGATAATAGAATTTGATAAAAGTATTTTGTTGAGACCAGTCTGCAAATTGCAAAATCTCGGCTATCGAAAAGCCTTGTTTAGCTGCTTCGGTAGTGACAGCCCCGCGAAAGGAATGTCCCTTAAAAGTATTAGTATCAACACCGGCTAGATGTAGGAGTTCTTTCAACCACCTTGCTACAGTTGCAGAGGTAACTGCTTTGTGAGGATAAATGTAAGACAGCAACAACTTGTTGGGTTTAGATGAGTCAGTTGATCTCCATGCTGCTGTACGATTCTCATATTCAACGAGACATTTGCATACACATAAAAGGTCATTATCGGGAAAACTGGCATGAAAGCAACATTTTAAGCTTTCGCCCGATTTTGTATTTTTCGTTAGGTCAGGTAGTTTAAATTCAACGCCTTCGGGGTGCATGTACCTGAACCGTAAATCCCTGGCTGCAAGCCCCGAAGCTCTATCGGGAGCAGTTAGGGCTAGCAGGCCTACTAGTTTGTAGGTTAATATTTTGACAGAGAGTTGGTCATTAGGTCCCAACGAGCTGATGTACTGTACTAGCTTAATGACTGGCCATGTTTGAGTGTAGCGTGGCTGGGGTGGACGAAGGTTATACACCCCTTTTAGTAACTGGGTAACCAAAGGATGGGAACCCACTTTGTGGCCATCTATTAGAGGTAAACATGCGGAGAGCGCAGACCGGTAAACATTAATAGACCGATACTCCCTCCCTTCGTGGAACTGTGTTGTGAAAAAATCTAAGATGTCATTGATAGATGGTGAAAGGGGATTGATAGTGACCCTTTCAGCACACCAGCTACTCCACTTGTTCCATGCAGAGGAATAAGAGCTAGTGGTGTTTTTTCTCCAAGCCGCCAAGAGAATTTTTCTAGTTTGATCCGAAATTCCTCCTGTTTGGTAGCCACTGTTGATAGTAGCCACCCAGCTAGCTGGAGTTGATCCAAAGGGTGGTTGTTGCCCCTCTGGGTTAACAGATCTCCCTGATTCGGTAGAAGAAGAGGGAAGTCTATGCACAGTTCCAGTAAGAGGGGGTACCAAGCTTGGGTTGGCCAAACTGGTGCCACTAGCACAAGGTGTTCTACTTTCTGGCTCTGGATTTGATGTAGACACCGACCGATCATCGCAAATGGGGGGAATGCATAGCCCCGAAATGTCGCCCAGTTGAGGGTGAACGCATCCGTATGCACTGCCGAAGGGTCTGGTCTCCAGCTCACATAATGGTCCAACTGGAATGTCAGGCGGGATGCGAAAAGGTCGATGTCCAGAGGTCCCCACCTCTGATACAGGCTGTTGAAAACAGTTTGGTTCAGTTTCCAATCGCTGGAGTCTAGGAAAATCCTCGACTCTCGGTCGGCCTGTACATTCTCTATTCCTGGAATATATTGGGCTGAAAGTAGCACATTGTGACTGAGACACCAGTCCCACAGGTTCTTGGCTAGTTGAGACAGAAGGCGAGAGTGAGTGCCCCCCATCTTGTTTATATAGGTCACCGCTGTGACATTGTCCATTAGCAGGAGTACCTGGGCTGATGCCCTGGATTTGGTAAAGCATTTGACTGCTAAGGATCCTGCTAGGAGTTCTAGGCAATTTATGTGGAGACTGCTCTCCTGTAGCGACCACCTCCCCCCTGTTGACACTCCTTGGCAATGGGCCCCCCACCCCTGGAGGGAAGCATCGGTTTCTATTGTTAAATCTGTTGATTGTTGGAGCAGGGCCTTCCCGTTCCATGCAACAAGATTGTTCTTCCACCACTGGACCTCCTGAAGGGCCTCTGAATCTAGGTTGACCAGAGCTTCGTAAGATTTCTGTCTTTTCAGAACCGAATTCTTGGCTTGCTGGAGGTATCGATAATGCAGTGGGGCCGGAAATACTGCCTGAATTGACGAAGATAGTAGGCCCAGGAATTTTGACAATTCCCGCACTGAGGTTACAGGGTTGTTTAAGAGTTGTTGACAGTTTTGAAGGACCTTCTTTATTTTGTCCTTTGGGAGACTCAAACTCATGCTGGCCGAATTTACTAAGAACCCCAGAAACTCGATCTGTTGGGATGGAATTAATTGCGACTTTGGGTAGTTTACCACAAACCCAAGTCCCTCCAAAAGATTGAGTGTTGTCGCTGCATGCTGTAGGGTAAGTTGCATGCATTCTGCCATTATGAGAAAGTCGTCCAGATAAGCTATGAGTCGAATGCCCCTCTGACGTAAAACTGACAGAACTGGTTTCATAAGCTTTGTGAACACCCGTGGGGCACTTGCAAGGCCGAATGGAAGGCATGCAAACTCCAGAAGTGAGTCCCTCCAAAGAAAGCGGAGGTACTTCTGGTGGTCCCTCCAGACAGGTACTGTCAGGTATGCATCCTTCAAGTCTATTTTCACTAAATAATCTCCTTTTCTTAGCAGGTCCTTTAACATATGTATTGATTCCATTTTGAAATGCTCGTAAGGTATAAAATTGTTTAGGGGCTTTAGGTTTATAACTGGCCTGTGCCCCCCCCCTTTTTGGGCACTACAAACAGGGAACTGACAAACCCCATATTGTTCACTGTGCTGTCTGAAATATAATGAACTGCCTGTTTTGTTAGCAGGTCCTGAACTTCCTGGTCTATCAAGAGTTGATCCTCCTGAGGAATATGACCAGTTATGGGGAATTTCATTTGGACAGGATTGGAAGTGAATTGTATTTGGTAGCCCTGGGCTACTTGCAGGACCCAAGGGTCGCTTGTTATTTGCTGCCATGCCTTTAAAAAATATTTTAGCCGACCTGCTACTGGTTGGTTGCAAAAACTTATAAGATTTTGAAACATACCTGGTGGCAAATGACGTGGGCGTTGTGGTGTTACTGTTTTTGGTGGAACTGTCGAGGGGAACTGAATGTGTGTGCTCTGCCTCGACCTCTGAAGTTGTTGGGTGGGAATTGGTTCCCTCGCATTGAATGAAAGAAGCTTGGGCGTGTCTGACTTCTGCCACCCCGGAAACGCCCTTGAAATCGCTGGGGGGCAGCCCTTGGAAAAAACGGTCGTCCCGCTTTCTTCGCCTGAGCGACAGTGTTGGCTGTCTCTGTGCGGAGCTTGAGTCTGGATTCAAACCCCTGACCAAATAACTCCTTTCCCGCCTCAGGGAAATCTTCTTTGCCCAGTGATGTGAGATACGGGTTAAGTTTGGTTAAAACCTGTTCCCGGCGTTTTGCTGACAATTGAGCAGAGGTATCCCCCACTAGAAGGATAGCTTTCTTTATACAATTAAACATTGCAGAAACTGAGGCTTTATCCAAGGTAATGTTATCTTCGGTAGATGATTCATGTAGGAGATTAATGTTCTCATATAATGTGCACAACGGGCCCAAAATGTCAAGAACCTTGTCTTGCGTTTCTCTGGTCGCCGTGTCTGACGTTTTAACACCGCTGATCATAGATGGTAGATAACTATCTAGACTTGGAGTCCATGCTGCATTCACTAACGGGTCTGGGGAATTCACGAATGATTGCCCGGCGATCAAAACGGGGCAATGGTTTGAGCATAATGTTAAGCAAAGCGTCAAGTTCTTCGCTTGCTTCCCAACGTGAACTTACAGCACTAGCAAAGGTGCCGTCCAGTTCGCCTTGATCAGGCGGAGTATGATCATCGTTCTGCGACTGTGTGAGGTCGACTGTATCTGAGAATTTTCTCTTGTTATTTCTCTGCACCGTTTGGTCCAATGACACTCCGGTGAGATTATTTGCCGGCTGGCCCATAGGCGCTGCGACATTTTCTTCGTATGTATTTTGTCCGAAAATGTGCTCTGACAATCTTGGCTGAATTTTGGCTAAAATTGCTTGTGAAAGAGTGGCAAGAACGGTTTGGTCAGCCACAAGTGTCTCAACCATCGATTTCGCCGAAGATGGTTCAACGATACTTACGTCGTCCGCAGGATTAACTTGGATTGCTTGAATTTCGTCTGTAGGATTTTCTGAACCAGCCATCTTGGACGAGGAGTGAATGAAAAAGACAAAGCCCAAGGTTCAGCCAGCGGTGTTATGTTAGACATTTAGTTACTTGATGTTATGTTAATAGTTTACTTTTAAACACTGTATTTTGGAGTGAATAAAGAGATATTGCATTGTTAAATTGAGCCGAGTATTTTGAAGTATAACTTGAAATGGAATGAAGAAGTTATTTCAAATTAAGTTTAAAGGTAACCGAGTTAAAAAAACAGTTAAAATTTAAAAAGTGTTTCAAACTTCCTTAGCACATTAACAGTTGAATATGATAGCTTGAGTTAAATGTACTGCACTTAAATGTCCGGCAAATCAGTTGATTAGTTACGAGTTACAATTGAATAGTTACAAGTGCAAATTATTTTTACTAATGCAACAAAAGAGCTACAAGAAAATTAATTACATTTTAGAATAAACTTTCATTGCTGGAAGTATGTGTGAAGTGATTGCTTAAAAAGCGAGTATTTGTGATATAATATATTTACCTGTTGTAATACATTCTACTCCAGCATCTCTGGAATGGCCGCAGTAACGGTCTCCTAGCGCCAATTGATGCGCACAGCTATTCAGATCTGGCTCTTCACCAGTACAGCCAACCTTGTTCAGCCATACCTGACCGGATCCTGATGAAACATGTTTGCCTTGAAGAGCTCTAACGGCATTCAGATAACCAAGTTCCCGACATGCAACCCTGGCATCTTTAAAATCCCAACCGTCATCACAGACTGTCCCCCAGGTCCCATTGCGGAAAACTTCAACACGTCCAACACCTTTTAAACTTGATGGACCTTGTAACCTAATGTTTCCTGACTGAACTGTGAAAAAGAGAAAAATTGTTGTTAAAAAAACAATATTTTCTAATTATATTTTTATCAACATATTGTAAATAACTTGGAATTGTAAATATTATCTACTACCTTTTTTAATTATATTGATCGGTAAAATTTGTAATTCAACAAAATAATCGCAATTCTTTACCTACCTTGGCAAGTTGATCCATTTCCAGCATGTTGATCATCGCATGTGCATAGATAAGATCCGTCAGTGTTGCTACAATTTGAACTTTGTAGACAATTGTGAGCAGACAAAGCACATTCATCTATATCTGAATGTTGGAATAAATAGAATGTTTGTTAATATATCTGGAAAATTTCTTTTGCGTTAGCAAGAAATCTACAGCCAAAATTTTAAATCTAAATAACAAGTTTTCAATATTCCTAAAATTGTAGGGAGCCACAGTAAAATTTCATCAACAATTTCTGTTTTCATAATGACAAAAAGAAAATCAAATCAAAATATTTGCCTGCAAAGACCAGTCAAGGCGTAACATAAAACTTAGGAAGGTGTTTAAGACGTCTAATGTTATAACTCGGGAATGCAATTGCGAAATCAAAGTTGTCCGCCATTATTTCATGGACGTTGGGCGTCGCGCATGCGTGAGCCGAGTTAAAACTCTATAAAAAAACTATAAGACGAGTTAAAACAGGTAACTAGCCACCGTTCGCAATTGGCTAGATTAAAAACAATTGCATTGGTCCACGTCAGCGTTTTTTTTCAAATATTATCATTTATTTGGATGAGGGTGAAAATATACGAAAAAATTATTCGTATTGTGAATTGATTGTAAATAATGCCTTCGGATTGTAAAAAATCTACGATTTTGAAGCATTTTTTGAGTGTTTTCGTATTTGGAACCGGTAAATGGGTAAATTTTGCATTTTGTTTAACAAAGTTTAATATGTACATTTACCAAAAAGTTTATTACATCTCTTTGATATTTTTCGTGATTCCCGTGTATTAATCGGAGATTACTAGACCAATCAGTGGTCAGAATTTGAATAATTATACTTAGAATGATTACATGATAATCAGTGATAATTATGCAATAAATGATTATATGATAATCAGTAAAACAATTATTCTAAGGATGATTATGTACCTTCACACACTATTCCATTTCCAGTGTATCCCACATTACATGTGCACCAAAAAGAACCAATCGTGTTAATGCAGGAAGCTTTCAAATCACAGTTGTTGTTAAGAGTTGAGCACTCGTCGATATCTGGGATTCAATCAGTTATTAGTTAAATTTAGAATACAGAGAGCGTTGAAGGTTACTTTGGTATTTGGCACATGTTCATACCTATAACATCAGACTTACTCGTATTTTGAATACTTGCATAAGTTGCCAATAATGGTTATATACTGAAACTGTATGCATTTTGTTTCGTGAAAGTTAAAAAAATGAATAATTCTTCTGCGTTAAAAAGATCTTTACAAAAAGACAATGAAATACTAAATTTTATAACTAAAGTACCCAAAACATTTTCACCGATGCAGCTGCAGATTACATGATCTGTCAATGTCAATATGCACCATATGCGCTTGGTTTACATTTCGCTATTTTAAAATGAAAGCTGGGAAATAAAATATCAGGTATATAAGATCGTAAAAGTATAATAAATGAAAGTCCAAACTGATTTGATGAGAAAAATAGAATGAAAGTACAAAAGTACTATTCTGAAAAGGTGAAGTAGAATACGTTAATGAAAATTGAAAAAGGAAGAAGATTAGCGTTTAAGAACTCACCAGTACAAGTTCCATGTTCTCTTGTATAACCTTGATTACATAAACATATATGTCCCCCAAAAGTTCTTTTACATCGAGAATTTCCGTCACAATTGTGCATCCCTGTGAAACATTCATCGATATCTAAAGTGAGAGAGGAAATTTGTTAGGACAATATAGACAATGCTGTTTCTAAACTAATTTCAAACTTAATACAAAATAATTTATCAACTGAAGATATATAGTCTGCGTTATTTGAAATGAGGGATATGACTTTCACTTCGTATCGGAAAACTTTAAGACTCTTCGGAAAACAAAACTCACTATTTCCTTCGGGAGCATACATGCATTTAGTGTATAATATTACACCATTACCTTGATCTACAGGGTGTTTTCAAAGAAATTAAAATAAGTGTTATCATCGGGTTTATGTGCGAAAGGAATTATAGTCCTTGAAACGTGATGTAATAATTATTGTTTCTATTGTCTTTTTACCTTCCAAAGTACATTCGACTCCAGCATCGTTATTGTGGGTACAGTCATTGACTCCCCAGTTCGGATGAGAACAACTTGACAGATTTTTTTCCCGGCCATTACATTCAACTCCGTCTAACCATATCGGTCCAGAACCAGAAACAGTTTCACTCCCTGGAATAGCTCTGAGAGAATTGAGATAGCCAAGCTCACGGCATACAACCTTGGCATCCTTTATATCCCAATTGTCGTCACAAATTGTTCCCCATGTTCCATTATGGAGTACTTCAACACGTCCAAGACCTTTTAAACTGTATGGTCCTTGTAGTCTGACGCTTTTGGAATTACCTACTAATAATGAGAGTAACGGTAATCATAATTGCGATCATTCCTGAAACGTGATATTGATTTGCAAAGAAAGCAGTTTGTTTGATGCAGATGCAATCTCAAAATGCAGTTCATCTCTGTCCTTGCATGACAAAGTGACGGATATAACGTTACATTATTACGTATCACTTAGAGACCTCGAGTGAGGGGATTCAGCAAACTATCATTACTGAAGCAAATATTTCACTGAATCCCCCAAGCGTAGGGTCTATAACGTAAGTGATATACTATACCGAAAAAGAATAGCCAAACATACACTAGCTTCAAAGGTCCGTAAAAGTATTGACTTGTGGATTCCGCCATAGTTGCTGTGAATCACAGACTCGGAACGAGCGGTGTATTTAAAAGCGTTGTATTCGAGTGAGTACCATGCCCCCGGGAAAGCACCCATGGTACGGGCGGCCTGGAGCATGGTATTCCCCGTTATTTGTTCGAAATAACCCTACCCGGCTGCAATGCTTATGCACGTTAAAACAGTGGATAACAGGATACGTTTAAAATGGAAAACAAAACAAATGACCTAAGATATTTTCATGAAAATAGTTTAATTTAAATGTAGCTGGGTATTGAATGTGTAAAATGCATGTTCAGTCACGAAGTCTTTGGTTTATCTATCGTTTAAAGCAGGGTTGCAGTCGGTGATGGAAACAAACGCTTTGTTTATATATTGAATCGTTATCCTGAGCTATCGGAATATTTATCACCATTTCAGTTCACTATATTTCTAAATGAATAAGAGAATGAGTTTATGTTCAAAGAAATTCATAACATGAGAAATTTCGGAAACCCTGCTGTAACCCATTTTTAGGGAAATTATCTTTCGAACAACAGACGCCAGAAGATTTCAACTTTCTGGTTTAAAATCCATATCAAAAACTATGATCACTGGGGTATTATTCTCATTTATTTTTACCTTTAGAAATTCGAACAGAAATGCAAAACAGCGGATAATGCAACCAACAAACAAAAAATTCACTTCTAACATACAGTATAGAATGTGGTGAAGACATGAGAATGGGTTTGAAATTTTTGGAGTATTAAATACTATCAGTTTAGATTTGTTTAACTTACCTTTGCAGTTTTTGCCATTTCCGGATTGTTGATCGTCACAAGTACATAGATAAGATCCAACAGTGTTGGTGCAGTTCAAAGTGGGAAGACAGTTGTGAGTTGAAAGAGAACATTCATCTATATCTAAAGAAATAGTGCAAAACGTTATATAACATAGTTCACGGTATATGACCTATTCTTACCTGCATGATTGGTCAAGAGCCTACCGTATCTGAGCTCGGTGAATATACGGTGAATAGCAAAAATAAAACGGCTGTTGTTTCACCTTCTATTGTTATGAAACAATTAGACGTATGACACTCACTCTCGTTATTTAGGGCTGATGATTTGGAGTGATTTCAAAGAGAACACAAACTATATATTATACGACTCGAGTTCGTTTTCTCCAAGAAAGCACATTAATATTAATCTTTGGAAAAGTCTTTGGACATCTCCAATTATATTTTAGGACACTTGTGAGTTCATACCTTGGCAAATAGTCCCGTTTCTAGTGTATCCACTATTGCAGGAGCATTGAAAAGATCCAATAGAATTAATGCATCGAGAATTTGAACCACAGGTAATGGATGGACATTCATTATCATCTACGGAAAAGTTAATGTCGAATTGACTGATCAAAGCAAGAGATATATTGTAGAACCTCCCTGGTGTAGAAGAAGGGCCTCGCGGGGCCTGGCTTTTGCTCCCCAATTATAATTATAGTTAATGAAGACCTTTATTACAACATGAAACGGTAATAATGTTTAGTATGTTAAAGATGTACCAGACCTTGACGTGTACAGATCACTCACCATAGCAACGAGTCCCGTCTCCGTGAAAGCCTGGCTTACATGAGCATGAAAACCTGGCAGCAGTTTTCAGCTTATTACAACGAGCGTGTTCGTGACAATTATTCAATCCTGGAGAGCAGTAATCAACACCTGTATAAAAACATAGAATCTTAAAATGTATAATAAAAAACTATCTTAGTCTACTACATTTAAACACTTAACTATAGTATAGAGGCCACCATAAACTTTTATATGTTTTTATAATATAAGAAGTTAGCCAACACAAACCATATTTCAACTCATCAGTTTTTGGAACCTACTTTATATCACGCCATATTTATGCCACTTACTGCTACGTACAGCAAAACCCGAAATGTCATCTAATTTTCTTTTCGTGGAATATGTAAATTTTCAAAAAGATAGGAACATCGTAGACATAAATATCTTTTCCAGACGTCTTCGTTTGTCAGAGAATATTTCATCAGGTGTTTTTACCTCTTAATAAACATATAACTCCAGCATCTTCCCAATGGCTGCAGAAATGGTTCCCCCATGCGTCATGCGGACAACTGGACAGACTGTCCTCATTTCCAGCGCAATTAAGATTGGTTAACCATATTTGTCCAGACCCACGTAAAACTTGGCCACCGCGAAGAGCTCTGAGAGCATTGCTATAACCAAGTTGACGACACGCAACTCGAGCATCTTCGATATTCCAACGGTCATCACAAACTGTTCCCCATTGTCCATTATGGAATACCTCCACACGACCAGTACCATTTGAACTAAATGGTCCTTGTAACCTGATAACTTTCCCTAGGGTGTTATGGTAAAGAAGTTAAGCGAGATTACGTAATTCAGTGAGGCTTTTATCACCAGCTTTCAATGGAAAAAAAAGAAAAGGCCATTGGTCATTTGAATTGCCTAAAAGTTTAAATTAGCGACCTCTTGAAGCAGGCTGAACTACGAAATCATCTGAACTATGAAAGAAATATTATGTACAAACTTAGAAACAGAGGTGCTTCAATTATAATGCATTATATAAAAATTAATGCTGAACCATAATTTCTTTAAAATCGATTTTGAGACGAAAGAATGGGTTGAAACTTGATCGTTATCTTCATACTGCTCTTCCTTCTTTCCCGTACCTTATATTCTTATTCATTGTAAATAGTTTAGCTTAAATTTTTCATGGAAAGCATGCAGCGAACTACTGGCTGTTGAGGCTAACATGATAAATGAAGTTTATAATATGTATAATTTATAATATAAAATAAAACAAAAACTAAAGGCTTTAAAGCATGTAAAAAATACTCGATTATTCCTTATTAAATTTTAGCCTGTTCACAAAATGAGTTGAAATGTGTAATGTTATTTTTTGTTTCTTTTAAATATTACTTACATACCTGGTCGGCAAATCCCACTTTGATTAGAACAGCACTGGAAAGATCCAACGGTGTTTTGGCAGTTTGAACTTGGAGGACAGACATGAATACTTTGAAAACATTCATCGACATCTGAAGGGTAGAGTTTTGATTTTATGAAATTGTCGAATTTCCAGTGGGAAATTCACATTTTTATAAGTACATTAAAAATTCAAAACAAGTGCTCACCGTCACAGATAATTCCATTTCCTGTGTATCCATTACGACATGTACATCGATAGGATCCAACAGTATTGGTGCAAAAAGCTTCCGAAGAACAGTTATCGTAAATTGATAGACATTCATCGATATCTAGGGATAAATTTAAAAATAAAATACTTAATAATAACATATGCAGTGTTTTATTCGAGAATCTGCCATTGTGAAAAGCGATAATAGAACATATGATTGGTCGGATGGGGTAAAATCTGCTAAAAACAGTTTTGTTATAATGAGAACAAATATATTATACATGAATGCCTGGCAGGAAATTTATTCTATGAATCGTGTTGCATGCACTCGAAACAAAATTCCGTAGTTCCGCACATCCGTGTATTATTCTCAATATAAATTGTTAAAAATACATAATTGCATGATCAGTTAATTATCGAAATAACCCAGCCTCGTACCCCAGCGGTTTAATAGTGAAATATATTATAATGTTGCATTTAGTTACTGTATAGAAATCAGCTGAAAAAAGGCAAGCGCGCGGGGGTGGTTGGGGCGGTTTACCAAGGCAAGCAAAGCAGACCTAACTTCGCTAGGTACAAAATAAAGTTCTTGTTATTCAAGATAAAAAAAGAGTGTAAATACAGTGCAGTGATATCTTGTCGTTATGTTCCAAAGACATCGTCAGGCTATTAAAATTACAGGCAAGCAGTAACCTATATAAAATTATGTAATGCTATTTTCAAAAATAGCGTAGATCGTATATTACAAGGTGTAAGGCAGTGTGATGAACAAATAGGCAAGGTAACATTGAACTGCCCAGTTTATAGAACACGGTATGACGTCATTTTTGATAAGAACAAAAAGTGACAACTCGCCCATTTGTTTTATATAATAAAATCCAAGATTAAACAGACAAATATTTTCCCCAATACTTAGAAAATTGTCAAAGTAAAAATTTTGCAAATGTCACGCGTACATGATCAACAGGATTGCAGAAATGCTATTGGCTAGTTTTAGACACGTGTTAAAATGTGATTGGCTGACAAAATAAATCAAGAGATGAATGATCAAATTGGTTAAAATTATCTTTGACATCCGTTCGTCTGTCCTCTCACAGATCATGGCACTTGACCAATGAAATTGCTTGAATTCTTAACGTAATTATATGATAACTAAAGGATCAGAACAATTACATTTTTTTAAAATTTGCCAAATAAATTATTTTGGGGTTTTGCAAATTATTTTAACTCACCGCTGCAAGCTGCGCCATTTTAGTATAGCCGTGTTTATATATGCATGTAAACAATCCATTACTGTTTACAGTACATGTTCCCTTCTATTCAATAACAGAAGATCGTAGGCCTGTGGGAAGATTATTGCGGTTGCGATTTTTTTATATAATCTGTATAATTATGACTCACCAAAGCAAGTAACGCCGTCCCCGGTAAAACCTTTTTTACATCTGCATGTAAAACCAATCTCAGTATCGGCAATACATTGGGAATTACTCCGACAGTCGTGCAATCCCAAAGAACAATAATCGACATCTATATACAATAATACATGTAGAATTTGTTAGTCATCTTTGCTAGAATTGTTACACAAGAAAAATTAACATCAATTAGTCGCAAAATAGATTGACCAGTTTATAAGAATAACGTAAAGCACCTTCAAACGAACACATTACTCCAGCGTTGCCGTAATAATAGCAGTAATGGCGTCGCCACCATCGAGAAGAACAATTGGACAGTTCTTGCTCATTCCCGGCGCAGTTAACATAGTTTAGCCATGTCCGTCCTGAACCCTTGTACATGTACCCGCGAAGAGCTTGAAGAGCACCCAGATAACCAAGTTGACGACATGCCACTTGAGCATCTCGTATATCCCAATTATTATCACAGATTGTTCCCCATTGTCCAGCATGTAATACTTCCACAAGACCAGTGCCATTTGAAATTAACGGACCTTGTAATCTGATGCGTGGCTCTAATAATTTAGACAAAATAATTGGAAGAAATTTGAGAACAGGTGAGTCTCTGGAGCCAATTTTACGGTAATAGTTTTAGCAGTGACTACGAGTACGAGATTCCTCATTCTCGCGCGTTATTTGCTCAAATGTTGCCAAGTCTTGCCGATATAATTTCTTGTTTTAAATATTTTTCAAAACATGCGAAAATAAGGAGAGATTTGAATGCGTTTTTAAGTGTTTTGCATTTTCTTTAAACCCATCCTGTGGCTACTGCGTCATTGCTTTTAATGCGAAGTATTTTGCAATTGGCTATATATCTAAAGAAAATGACTTTCCGGATATTCTAACTGACTTTAAGTGCACGATTTTTTTCTTCCAAACATGTTCAAATCAATCCATTATATATTAAATTCTATCAATTACCTGTACAAACCGAATCTTCACAACAAAGATAAGTTCCAACTGTATTGGCACAGCTTGTGTTTACAGGACAGTTATAAACCGCACCAGAGCATTCATCCAGATCTAAAAGGGGCGATATTCTATTCAGCGCGGGACAGGTAGAAGCTAAACGCGGATGCAGGTGGAGGGGCGCGTAACCATTCTTCCACTTTCATCCCGTTGTACGGCGCAGTACAATGAGGTGAGGGTGTGAGGTGAGGTGAGGTTGAGGTGAGGTGAGGTGAGGTGAGGTGAGGTGAGGTGAGGTGAGGTGAGGTGAGGTGAGGTGAGGTGAGGTGAGGTGGTTGATTTAATGTAGCTACAACAAATAGTCTGGAACATTGATAGTTCATGAACATTAAACAAAACGTCAGCCTATGATAATGAATTAAGATTGAGGCCACCCATTTTTGTGCGCAATACTTGTTTTAGATGAAGTTTGAAAAATAGCCCTTCCTACATTTCGAATTTTTTTATTCAATCTCAGTGATAAAGTGGTCAAGAGACCCTAAAATACCTACATCAATTACAGAAGCTCTTCACACATTTTTCAAAATTTTCAGTATATGGACATTTCAGCAATTGTCTGATTTTTAATACAACCTGTATGTAGTACGAGTGATTTTCGGATCGTTCGGGCGGTTTGTCAAATTTTCCAAATTTTGAAACACTCTGTTATAAACTCAGAACACAACTCAGGTGTGAGGAGATATATATATTAAAGAAGATTCCGTCGACTACATACAGCAGAATATTTACACGAGTTTATATAGCAAATCTTTTTTGGGTTTTTTACTTGATTAACATAACAATACTTAATTGTTTAATTCGCATAATGAGTTTATATTAGTTTCGCCTATAACTACAATATATGTCAATAATGATCTCACAACATCCCTTTCTTCCCTCAACTTTGGAATCGATCCGGCAGATAAACTTCACGTCCTCGGCGCGTCACATAAACAGGTTGTCTGCCACATTGTGGATTGATCGACTGATCTACTACTTTATCACAATCGTCTCTTGTCTCTGCTAGTTCTCCTTTCTCAAACTTCGATGTCTCGCGTACGATCTTGAAATGTGACTTGTCTCGCACGAACACTTTCCCATCATCAAATCGAGCTGTTACACCGTGTCCATGTATCTGGGTTACTCTACCCGGAGTAATACTTAGTGGATCTGTTCGCCTGTTCTTCATGAGAACCCTGTCTCCAACAGCAATTCTGGACTTTTTCACATTTCTACGCTTATCGTGATATCTCTTGGACTTGAGTTTATACGAAGCATCATTCTTTCTGACTTCACAATCATATTCGTGCTTGAATGCATCTGATATCTCCGGCAATACACCAAGTCTCATTTTTCTTCCAAAGATGAGCTCGAATGGACTTCTCCCTGTAGCAGGATGCGGTGTGGCACGGTATGCATTTAACACTCCTTCAATTAGATTGCGGTATTTCTTCTTCTCTACTTTTGCAATCCGCTCCATCTTCTTCAGGTTCTGCATAAATTTCTCTGCTTCACCATTTCCTCTCGGATGTCTAGGTTTCACAGGTTTATGCATGTATGAATCCCTTCTCACGAGCATATTCACTGAATTCATGTCCATTGAATGGAGGTCCTTGATCTGACTTCAATTCTTTCACTGTTCCAAAAGTTGAAAACCACAAATCCAGGATTGGTTTCACACATGAAAAGGATGTGGATCTGCAGTAACTTACAAAAGAATAACGGCTGTAGAGATCATACCCGACCAGGGCATAAGTTCCATCCTTAAACGGTCCCTTGAAATCCACAGAAATCGTATGCCAAGGACCTGGCGGCAATGGTGTTGATTGGAGCGGTTCGTCGTAGGTGCGATCATGGGTAAATTGACAGCTTTGACAATTTCGTACAATCTCTTTACATAGTTTGGCAATTCCAGGAAACCAGATCTTCTCCTGAAGAAGCTTCAGTGTGCGGGTTTCTCCTGAGTGCCTAATCTTATGCGCTTTCTGGACAAATTCTCTTTGACAACTGAGAGGGGGAATAACTTTATCTTTATACAGGATGATTTCTTCAACAACAGATAGGTCGGACGCTACTCCGAGAAATCTTGCAATTCTTCCATCATTGCCATGTCTTTTCCAAAGGTTATTCTGAATCACTTCTTTCAGGAACTGGTAGTCGCTATCATCTTTCGCGATTTTCGAAAGGTACACGTTTTCTTCAGAGACTACTGCTCGTAATCCTTCCTCCATATCGTTCACTGATTTCACGTGGGAACATCGTTATGATTTTTCGTCAGGTGTCTTGATCCATAATCAGCGATGTTTTCAGCTCCCTTTTGGTACTTGACCACATAATCTAAACCTTGTATGGCAAGAATCTGTCGCTCGATTCGTAACGGTGCTTTCGACGCTGGGTTATTAAAGAGATGCACAAGTGGTTTACAATCCGTGATAATCTCGAACTTTGGCGCACCAACCAAATACTTATAGAAGGCATCAGCACACGCAAATTTGATCGCAGCAGCTTCTAATTCGGTTTGTCCGTATCTTGTTTCAACATCAGTCAAAGCACGGTTGGCCACATGACACATTTTTCATTGTCCCTCGTCGTCTTGTTGGCATAGAATGGCACATAGTCCCCCTGGAACGTTGCTAGATTTTTCTGTCTTCTTTCCAGCATCGACGTAGATCCTCATTGGTCTACCAGGAATAAAATAGGCAAGGGTTGTTTGCTCCGTCAAACTGTTCTTTAGACTTTCGAAAGCTTCCTGTTCTTTAGGTCCCCAGGAAAAAGTTGATGTTGATTTCGTTAACTGTCGCAACGGTGCAGCAATCTGGGCGAAGTTAAAGATGAGACGAGACATATATCCCACCATTTGCAGAAAACTTCTTACTCCTTTTGAGTTGGGTTCTCCACATTCTTGTAATGCTCTCACTTTTTTCTCTGATGGTTTGATTCCTTCTGCCGTAAATCTGACACCATAAAACTCGACTTCTTCCTTTCCGAATTCACACTTCTCTAATCTCAATGTCAATCCGTGGTCTTGCAGACGCGTCAGGACTAGATGGAGTGTTCGATTATGCTCGTCCCAGTTTTTTCCACCAATTAGACAATCATCTCGGTTACATTTCACACAAGGAATTCCCGCTAAAATCTCATTTATTCGTCTGTCGAATTCATCTTGACTGGTTATCCATCCCTGCGCAAGCGTCTCATGCTTCAAATTCCCCCATGGCGTGGTCACGACTAAATATTTCTTGGATTCCTCGTCAACTTTCATTTGATGATAGCCATTATTCATATCCAAATGTGAGAACACTTTGCAATCACCAAAGGACGCAGACAGCTCGTCTATTCGTAAACCAGGCACGATGCGAGTCCTTGATGCTCCTTTGTTAGCCAATCGGAAGTCTGCAGTGATTCGAACATCATGATCTCCTTTCGGCGTGATAACAAGTGGACTGGCATATGAAATTGGTTCTCCAGGTTTAGTCCAAGTCATTATCCCTTCTTCCACGAAGTAATCCAATTTCTTTTTGGTTCTTTCTGCGAGATGATGTGGCACGGGTCTTGGGGTTTGTATGACAGGCTGTGCATCGGGGTTCAGTTCGATGTGGGTAAGGATTGGTTCGCCTGTTTCAGGATCTTTTAGTGTTCCTATGCCATGGAACATTTTCTTGTGCTTCTGCAGGATGTTTCTGAGTTCTTTCTTCCTGAGCGGTATTTCCTCTTCAGGTTTACACTTTCGTTCAGTGTCGTCACTTACGCCCGCATCGACTTTCTTAACAAACTCTCCCTCAGCGCTGTGTTTAATCATACCGAGTTTCATCAGTGTTCTTTCTGATAACAAGGAGTGTTTATGGATACAATCTTCAACAATGTAGAGATCGGCGAGTGTCTCTGCGTTCTTGTTTGACATCCTTGCATCTTTAATTGTAGCTATAACTTCAATTTCTTCACCATTCAGGGCGTAGATCTTCTGTTTTGGCTTCTTAATCTGCCTCTCAACATCGGGATTTCCTTCATGAATTTTCTTGAAATCGCTTACGGAGATTAGATCAACGTCAGCGCCAGTATCTGGATCAACGATGATTTTTACTCCAAATATATGGACGGGTAATAAAATGTTGCTAGCATTTTGTCCTTTGACCGCCCGTATACCCAATTTCTCGCTAACACATCTGTAAAATTCGGGATCAGAATCAGATGAAGCAACAGGGTCTAGTATGGAATCATTCGTCCCATGACCACCACACAATCCGGCAGCTTCGGCAGCTTTTACTTGCTTATTTCTGTTGTCCAATTTTCTCGAGCAGCACTGTGCACTGAAATGACCAACCTCCCGACAGTTGAAACACTATTTCTCGGCAGCTGGGCATATAGGGTGTGATCTATCACGTCCACACTTGGTGCAAGCTTTCTTCTCTTCTTCGTCATTCGAGAGTTTCCTCGGGTTTTCGCGATTTCTAAATGAATATAACTTCTGTGATTTCCTTCTCGCAAATCTTTTATTAGCTACTCTTCGCACTTCAAATTCGGGAAGTTCGCTCTTGATATTCATTTCGTTTCTTTGTGCTTCGACGTCTTGCTTTGTAGTTGCATATTTCAAGAAGTTTCGCTTGTAGGCTTTCATCTTTACACGTTAATATTAAACGATCTAGGATCATCTCATTATCCTGTCCGTGAAAATCGCATTCTTTAGCGAGTCGTCGAAGTTCAAGTTCATACTGGGCGATAGATTGTCCCGGTTGACGAACGGCTTTGTTAAATCTAAATCTGGCGTGAAGTCTTGTGTTTGTTGCAACATATACATGCTCGATTTTAGCAATAAGCTCCTCGTATTCGTCAAGATCTCCCTCCGGTTCAGCTCCATTCTCGTCTATAGAAAGAATTCTATCCCCACCATGAACTAACAACGCTGCTTTCATGTCTGCAGGCTTTACGATGTCGAAGTATTTCATTTGAACTTCAAGTCATCGTCTCCACAATTCCATTTGCATGTGGTTTCTAATATGTCTTCGTCTGGCTCGAATTCTTTAATTTTCAACGCTTTCCTCGGTTTAGGAGGCATACTTGCTTAAGTGAATCCTCGTCGCCAATGTTATAAACTCAGAACACAACTCAGGTGTGAGGAGATATATATATTAAAGAAGATTCCGTCGACTACATACAGCAGAATATTTACACGAGTTTATACAGGGTGTATCAAAAAAAGGAGACCTTTAGAAATCAAGCTATTGTTAAAATTTGAATGCTTCTTCAATTGCATTTGCACATATGCTAAACCGTAGTGCGTGAAATATTGATGGCATGCATGCATGCATACATTAGAAAAAGGAGACCTTTAGAAAATGAATTGACGTTTATACACAAGATTGTCTGCTCCTGGGAATTTGAAAATAACTTTAATAGCATAAGGAAAAATAACGACCCAAAAATATTCAAAAGACTAAGCACAAACGACTAAGCACAAAAGCGATAACAGTATGCCTGGTAAATTGCTTTAGCTGTTCCTTCAAAACATGAACAAATCATTTGTTCATTAATTTTTAACACTGCGTGCGAGTATTAGGGTTGTTCACATGAGTTAGAATTGACTTTGAATCCGGAATGGCTCAGCATCCCAATTTACAAACTCTGCCTATTAAAATGTTTACATGAGCCAGGAATGAATTACAACTTGATCTGACACAGATTCACTTGACATTTCGATCCGGATTGAAAATTACTGATAAATTGAACATCAAAAGAACTGAATGTCATGGACCATGACCTCCAACGTGGCCTCTATTTCTCTCAACACAAACTACCATACGCTTGTGCATATCGCGAACTGCTTTTCTGATAACGGCAGGCGGCATGGGTATTAGTTTAGACTACAAAAACTCGTTGCTCCGAAGTCAGTTGAACCATTTTTGTTCTGGTAGTGTGCTTAGTCATTTGAATATTTTTGGGTCGTTATTTTTCCTTATGCTATTAAAGTTATTTTCAAATTCCCAGGAGCAGACAATCTTGTGTACAAACGTCAATTCATTTTCTAATGTATGCATGCATGTGCATGCCATCAATATTTAACGCACTACGGTTCAGCATATGTACAAATGCAATTGAAAAGGCATTCAAATTTTAACAATAGCTTGATTTCTAAAGGTCTCCTTTTTTTGATACACCCTGTATAGCAAATCTTTTTTGGGTTTTTTACTTGATTAACATAACAATACTTAATTGTTTATTTCGCATAATGAGTTTATATTAGTTTCGCCTATAACTACAATATATGTCAATAATGATCTCACAACACACTCGTACTATTATTCATCTGAAATTGTATTCGCCATCGCATGTTAATCTAAAATCATTTTTACTAATCTGAACATTTACCTTTATCTATAATCATGGTGATAAAAGTCGACTCAAATTTTTGTTTACATTAGTTGAACAACATAAAATGGTTAATTCTGTTATTTGATAACGAAGTAAACAAGTACCTTGGCAAACAGTTCCATTTTTAAAGAATCCACTTTTACAATAGCATTGGTAAGATCCAGGAGTGTTGGTGCAAACAGCGTTTGACTGATCACAGATTTTTGCAGATGAACATTCATCGATGTCTAGGAGAAATATGAATAAAATTATGGCAATGACTGAAAACTGATTTTCCCAGATGGCAAAAATATGAACATTCCATTGATGAATCATGCAGAATTTCTTTTCTGTCAATAAAAAAAGATTAAAGGAAATTAGCAACCATATTTTAACATTACTTTGTTTTAAAAAAACAACGACACTATTCCCGCTATTCTGTTCAGTGAGTGCGTGAGTCCTCGCAAGATTTCTTGCGCGAGAGAAATTTAAAGGTGGATTTCCACTAACAGGGAAATCGTTCGCAAACGAAATATTTGCAGATTTTCTTTTGAATTTTAACAGCATAAATAAATTAGTGCGACTTGACGTTCTCAATTCATAAGAAAATATGCAAACATTTTGCTAGCAAACGATTTCGCTGTAAGTGGGAAACCGCCTTAATAGCACAGTGTGATAAATTAATTCTAATGTTACACGCTTGACTTATAATATTTAGTTTAGTCCCGTAGTGAAGTTGAAATCTAAAGATAGTTGTCACTAACCATTGCAAGAAACGCCGTTGCCTGTATAGCCTGGATTACATCTGCATGAAAAACCATTTGTTTCGTTAATGCATTGAGCACGATGATTACAGTTGTGCACTCCCGAGGAGCAATAATCAACATCTATAAACATTATAATTAAAATAATTTGAATTCCTTATAGACATCCAGCCTCGTACCCTGCCTCACTTTCACTGTTGAATTATTTTTTTACCTTCGTTAGAACATTGCACTCCAACTTGGTAGTAATGACTGCAGTAATTATTCCATGATCGATATCGATAGCCACGTGGACAGCTTTTCAGATTTTGCTCGTCTCCAGTGCAACGAGCCCTTTCAAACCAAATCTTACCGGAACCAGAAGGAACCTGCCATCTTGGAGGAGCTCTGAGAGCATTCCGATAACCTAGTTGACGACAAACCACTCGAGCGTTATTTATACTCCAACGAAAAGCACAGATTGTTCCCCATTCTCCGTTACGGCGCAGTTCCACACGACCAGTACCATTGAGTCTTGACGGTCCTCGCAATCTAACAGTCATCTCTGAAAATTTTGTATTTGACATGACGCAAACCACGTCTCATTTTAAATATAAACACACATGCAAGAAAACGAAAATATAACCTAATTATTTCACATCTCGGAACGGCTTTTCTTTTTCACAGCGGCGCCAAAACGACGCAAAGGCAAAGAGGAGCAGATTTTGGTGAAAAGGCACTTTTGCAATTGTAGCGGCGCATACAGGGACCGCGGAGGGTTTTTCGTATTGCTAGGGCTCGGAACCAGAACCGCGGATCCGCTAGCTAGGGGAGTCCGGGGAAAATTTTGAAATATAGACCTCTAAATAGCCGCAAGTGCCTCTCAATTTAAGGATTATTCGGTGGAAATAGCAGATACTTTTTTGTCTCGATGTTTTTTATGTGTTCTCGATGTTTTGTCTCGATATGTATTAAACATAACTCATTAAATTAAGTCGATTTGTAAACATGGCGTACTTATTACGACAGATATCGTTGGAAATTAGAATATGCAGTTTGTTTGACTGATTTGTTATTAAAATATACGTTGAGGAAGTAAAAGTTACGATAGTATTCAAGATAAAATACACTGCATGCATATACTTGTAAGCAAAAAATTAATAAACAAATTGCTAAAAATATTGCTTGTAAATTTGAGCGAACGAAAAAATATTCGAAATTAAAGACCAATTACGGAAAAATTATTGATGGGGGTATAGCCCAGTGAGCCAAGCCTGCTCCGCGGTCCTGGCATCATAAAATTGATTGCAAAACATTGTCTATTTAACTTCGTTTCATCGTCACCTCCAAGATATTCTTGATGCTCGCTGGCGTACTTCTACTCAAGACATAGACTGAATGTAATCGTTAAAATAAAAAGCTCCTGCATGCTTGTAAACGGCACGGCGTGCAGCTGCCTCTGCTTGCTTGCCATCAACGGCGGCCTTAGTCTCTCAGACCGCATGCAAACTGAACGAAAATAAGGAAATTGAATTCGCACGATTCTTTCTCTTACGTAATACGCGAGTAATGGTGCACGGAAATGCAAAAATTTAAACTTCACTCAATGCATTTTGGTTCTTAGTACCCCAGGCACAGATTTTTGCATATGTAGGTTTTAAAAGAGGGCACATAATTATATGTGGATAGGCTTTGTTTAATAATTTTTTATGGTATATGGTAAAGAGGGTATATGGTTAGGCTTTGTTTTATTTACCTCGGCAAATAACACCACTTCCATCAGATTGTCTAAAACAACATTCATATGAGCCAACAATGTTTCTGCAAGTTGCAATTGAAGGACAGTAGTGCGGGGAATGAGAACACTCGTCATGATCTAAGAAACATTTGACAAATTATTATGAAACTATTATAAAATTTCCCATTTCATCGTGGTCTAAAAAGGAGTATACTGTAGTATTGAAAATTATTATTTTATCTGAAACGTCGAAATACCTTCGCAAACTGTTCCATTTCCAATGAATCCACTTTTACATGTGCACTGATAAGATCCAGGAGTGTTAATGCAAAAAGCGTTTGAATTACAGATGTTTGTAGATAAACATTCATTGATGTCTAGGTTAAATTCATAAAACTATCAATTGCCATATAATCGACAAGTTTAGGCTGGCTTTGCGAACAATATTTGCAAATGAATTATTCTTTACTAAACTTTGTCGAATTCAACATGTTTTCATTGAACGTATCTCGTTTAAAAGTTGTTTAAATGTACAGGTTAGCGAGCTTTAGCGAAACCTACGACACGGAAGTGACATGAAAACAGCTAGTCGCTGATGTTTGAAACAAAGGGCCGGTTGTATCAAGCCTGCATGTTGAGCCTAAACGGTGGTTAAGTTAAAAATAGAAAGGAAGTCTATCGTTTTATTCAACAAAGAAATTAAATGTCAACCTTAAAACAAATAATTATACTGTTTACAAATTACAACTCCATATTCAGTGCATAATATTCAGGTTGACTCAATCAGGGGAGATCTAAGAATGATATTTAATTTTGACTTATCCACTGTTCAAGCTAAATGCCTTTCTAACAATGGGCCCTTGCCCTCGGGGTCGAACTTTTTAACTAATCCTGCGATTTGGTCGGACTGAGGAGCATAGCGACCTTTTTCCGACGTTCCTACATGCATTAAGTTCACACATGCAACTCGCTTTTTGGAAAAAAGGGACAAGAAGAAAAGAGACGAATAAAACAACATGCTGAGCTTGCCGTTGCCCGTCAAATTGTTATGTAGAGCATATAGATCTGATTCTCACTTCCAATTTAGGTCCTACGTTTAACAAATCAGAACTGACCCTTTTCCCCCAAAGTGTAAAACAATTATACAGATATAAGTGTTGTTTGGCTGAAAAGGAATTTCAGATGAAGAAATGCGTTGGGAGTCAAATTTTAAACTATTTTCAGTAATATGTGCAAACTGGAAATTCCTTCGAGGCCCTGCAAACGCCGACGTTTTGGCTTTTTTCTATAGAGTATAACTGACTCTTCTAGCAATGTTTAATTCGCGAAGTGCTTTTGAATTATTTTTTAATAGCTGCATAAATTACAAACCATTGCAAGAAAAGCCTGTTCCAGTATAACCTTGATTGCATTTGCACGAGAAGCCACCTCCAACAGTTGTAATGCATTGTGCATTTCTATGACAGCTGTGTAATCCGGTGGAACAATAATCAACACCTGAAAACAATATTGAAAGCAATAATGTAAAATTGTGAAACAACATATTTCAAACATTAACATATATTAATATATGTTTCAAAAATCAACATATATAGTTATAAAAATATATTTCAAACATTAACATAAATATTTATATAAATTAACATTTAATTCAAAGGCAAGCGAGCAGCCTATTACAATGTATTATTACGAGCGCTATATAGCTATATCATAAGTACACTGATTGTTATATTAATCTTACCTCTTACAGCACATTCTACGCCTACATCTTCATAATAATAGTAGCAGTTATGATTTCCCCAGTCAATACCGGGGCAACTAGATAAATTTCTCTCACGACCAGTACAATCAACCCGTTCTAACCATATTTTTCCGTAGCCAAGGGGTACTTTATGAGGGGACAATGCTCGAATAGCACCAGGGAAACCAAGCTGACGACATGCCACATGAGCATCTCTTATATCCCAATTTCTACTACAGATTCTTCCCCATTGCCCATCGTGGAATACTTCAACACGGCCAGTGTTATTTGAAATTAATGGTCCTTCTAACTTTATAGAGGGTTCTGCAGGTTAAGTAATGATAAATACTGATTAACAATGGAAATGCTTTCAAATTTAGTAAGACCATACTGAGAGTGAATTCATTACATAGCACACTTTTTCTTATTGTGAGAAAATATTCTCTTTGTTTTTGGAAATATATTTTCCCAGATTAGAATGTTTGAAATATTTTGTTGTTCTCCATACGAAAATTTCGTGAATTAAGTCACAAGCACCATATGCCCCGTACAAATTAGTTAGAATAGATATGAAAATCAGTTACAAACACTTGTGATTGTATCGGTAAAAATACTCATCAAATGTATTACAAATTCATTTCACAAGTTGTGAAATTGTTAGTTGAATACAACACGAGCGGTCGTCTTGTAAACATAACTAATTGGTAGAGGTTCATATCCATATACTCGTAAGATATTTTGTGTACGTATATACATTTTTATCGGGCAAAAAAGAATATCTAAAGTGGCTATATCACCTGTGGGATCTTTATGCATTTGAAAAGAACGTAAAAAGTTAGTTAATATATTAAAAAACGTATTTGATTTCGTGCAACAATTTCGAAGATACAAGCATCTAAACTACCTACGGTTCATGAGTCCCAACCTCCTGGGTTTAAACACGGCTATTTAATTTGAAACTGCTCATTGTTTACAGGAGCCTGGGACTCAGGAACTGCAGGTAGGTAGTTTAAAGGCTAGTATCTTCAAAATTATTGCACTAAATCAAAAAACTTTTTTAATATACTTTTTACATTCTTTTCAAATGCATAAAGATTCCACTAGTGATATAGGCACTTTAAATAACACCCATTGCCCAAAATTATCAGGCTCACGCTGGTTGACAGGGGGACTTTTGTCGACGCTGTCGCGGTATTTTTTCCGAAAATCTTTTTTTCGACATTTGAATGAAGTCTTCAGCATTGTGATTAACAGGTTTTCGAAAGTCTTGAGATTTTCTTTGTTGGAGGTTTTAGATTAAGTTATCATGAACCTAAAGAGTTTCCAAAACGAAAGACTTGATAATAAAAACATTATTTTGACGAGGATTTTGGATGTTAAGTAAATCCTTGGAATTACCGTACAAGGTAGTAACTTTTTTGCCGGTTCGTTGTTTTTGGCATCATACGTCACACGGTGACAGCTAGATTTGTACACTTTGGTGTTTCTACGAATTGCTTTCGGTACTTCGGCGAGTTCGATACCACAAATGACCTACAATTTTTATGTGACACGCGTGTTTGAAAGAGCTTCGCTTTTGAGTTTAGTCGCCGTGTTAGAAATAATTTAGGTCATTAAGAGGAGATTTTTTAGAAACTCGCGTATTGAGCGCTCAAAACCAATTAGATTGCTGGAGTCTGGAAGTTGATAGAAGCAATTCCATGTAAACATGGCGGCCGGATTTCAAATAGTATGAGTGTCTCAGTGCCGTTTTCACACCGATAACTCTCGGAAACTTATGCAAATTAACAGAAAATAAAAAGCATGAGTCATCTAAAGATATGAAACTCCTAGACAAAAGGGATTCACTGTTTGCCAAATAATTAAGGACGGTGGAATGTTATACAAAAGTTCGCTATGATTGCAGTTTACAGAAGTTAGGATTGTATGATGGTCATTTTACTGTTTTTTAGCTAGGTAAGGTAACTGCCTGTGATCACAATGAATAAAATATAATGTGATCCTTTGACATATCACTGGTAAAAAATTGCAGTTTCGTGGAACTTTTAGTGCCTAATCTTATCAATATACCATCTTATTTTACAAACAATTCAATATTGGAATTGCCATTGGAAAAATGTATTACAATCAGCACTTTTGACCGTATATCTTAAATATTAGACGGAAATACTGTATTGTACGTGATTTTCTTTTGCAATAGATGTATTTTGTGTAAAGCATGCATTAGTTTTAAAATCCAAACAAAATAATTGTTGAGGTTTTGCTTGGTTTGACATAAACTTAAAACATTAGTCTATAGCTAAAACCTATGTTCAACACTGGTAAATTACCCCAAAACTGTTTCCGATCAAACTAATTTATATTTTGCAATACACCCTGGGTATTGTAGTTAACAAAAAGTATAATTTGATTTAAATTTGGGTGGTAGGTCCATGGTCGTTTTTTGACATTTTCAAAATCAAGCAATTTTCCAATTATCACAGCACATATTTACCTGACATCTCAGAATAGCTATCTACTTCTTGAGTAGAGTTTGAATAGAGATACTTTGAGCCATATAGGCACCTTCCTTAGTTTATATTACAAAATCCATAGCAATTAATTTACTGAATAAACAATTTTCATCTAAAAAATTCATAGGTTTTTATTTAGGTCCTTTTTGTCAAAAAGGGACTTTATGCGAACCTTAAGTTTAGCCATTAAAATTCAGTGCAGAATTGTTTCCGATCAAACTAATTTATATTTTATGATAAGCCCCAGTTATTGTAGTGTGCAAAAAATACAATTTTGTTCAAATTTGGGTGGTAGGTCCGTGGTCGTTTTTTGACATCTTTAAAATCAACCATATGTTGTATATTTACTTTAGGCATTAGTATACCAAATGAAGTGGCACCTGTACATATATTAACAATATTATTGATGTAATGGAAATACCTAGGCAATTATATTTATGAGGGGTTGCTGTGAAAACAATAATTAGTGGCACAATAACTTTGGTAGTTTGCCACGTACTGTAGCTAAGGTGGCTTTGTTACATTTTTTTCACTTGAAAGAAAAGTGCTAGGATTATGTATTACATTACATTTCCTTAATTGTGTTTAACCATAAAAAAAACAATGAAAATGTTTCCAATCAAATTTTCTCTGTATTCACAAAGATGAGTATTATGATTTGAAAGTATTCGTAAGTATTTAGACTCCCTCCTAATTATTACAGTATAAGTGAACTACACACTATTTATTGAAATTATTGATATAATATTTTAACAACAAAGTCACATTATAATGTACAGCTATATGTACACATATATCACACTATATGTACAGCTGCATAATTTTGGAATAAATTGTCCCATGATTGTTCCACCAATTGTCCTACATGTCCCATATTATGTACCCACCACACAAGGAATTCATTGTTAAAATAGAGAGGGCAGTTGTTCTTGAAATGAATAAAAATAGTTTGACTTTCTCTTTCTTTCTTGTGTTGTTTCTTGAAATAGATTATTTAGGGTCTTTTTTTATTATTGTATCTCCAAGCTACTACACATAAGTGACATAACCATCCACTATGCAAGTTTAGTAGTTTACTGGTATCTGTCATCTGAAATTATTGTTCTGATTTGTTCATATTTTCCAATATGTGTTGGAGACCTAGGAATAAATACGTTGACGTTTTAGAATTTATTCTATCACAAGGTTAATTCTAAATCACTAAAATCAAACTTAATCAGTATATTTCAATATGTTTAATTGTTTATACTTTAGTGTGTGACAGTGTGACTGTGTGTCACTCCTTCGGACTAACAAAAATGTATGCATAGAAAATTATATTACTCAAAATACTAAAAAAATTAAGCGAACACTCACCTGATGTTCTTCCTTATTTCAAGGAGCTTTTCGCCTTTTGAAATTCTCCAAAAGTTAGTAAAAAAGCTGTCTATCGACACGAAAACGTTACCAAACTTGTAAATTCAAAATGGCTGCGAAGCATATTTTAGCGAAGGCCTGGTTGCTAGGTTTTGAGCAATTTTGGGCGAAAATATGTGACTTTCTAAGGCCCTGTTCATATGATCCCGCTTACTGAGATGTCTCACCTAGCGAGATGAAAATTTCCATGTGTTCATATGGTGTTTTCATCCCGCTTGCCGAGATAAAAATTCTTCGTTTCCATGGTAACTTTGTGGAAATAATTTTCATCGATACAGAATAAAACGATCGCTAACGCGATTTTTTTGCCTTTAATGATTGTTTTGCATCGTAGGACATTAGTTAAGCAATATTTTTGACAATTTGTACTAACCCAAACGTAAAATTTGCTAAAAATCGTGCAAATTAGCGTTAAAATCGAGTATTTATAGTGTTTAGATTTCATCCCGCGTTCATATGGGAATCGATTTATCCCGTCTACCTATGATCTCGCCTCTCAAAGGCGAGATCCCGGCTAGCGGGGCAATTCGTTTTCCCATATGAACGCGTTGTAAGTTTTACTAGTAAAAGTAACACACGACGAGATCATAGGTAAGCGAGACGTCCCGGTAAACGGGGTCATATGAACAGGGCCTAAAAATCTCCTCTTAATGTTTCTTTGGAACGCCATTTAGCTACATTTCCATAACTTTAAATGTGTGAACTTTTTTTCTTTTTCGAATATTTGCGTCCATATAGGTTTGCGTATGTATCGAGCGCCTCAAATTATCGCTTCGGTCGTGTAAGACAACATATTCGTATTTTATTCAAAATCTAGCCCCCAGCAGCTCCTATTTTCATTGTCGTTTTTCGTTGCTGCATGCTTTTTGATTTCTTGTTTCTATTGTAGGGCGAGTACTAAGCCGGAATTCTATAGTTAAGCGCGCTGAATTTATTTTAGGCTTTCGTTCATAAATCACAAATACGTTACCGAATACTTCATCGCTTTTTGCAAAGAAACTAGCCTATATCATGCACCATCAAAATTTAAGGTTGTTTTTAAAGCTGAATATATTGTCTATTAATAAAACTAGTTTTTATGCAATCAAAAATTTCGAAGAGAGTTAAATTGCACTTGCATATTTCTGTGGAAAAAATATTCGAAGATGTCATAATACTAAGAAGTCTGCCATTAACTTTGGCCTTTGACTTTTGGCTGGAATAGCAAAACTGCTCTCCGTGCACGTATTTCATATCGCAGTAAATTTATTTATACACGCAGTTTGTTTATTTACAAATTAATTGAATTTTAAATTTCTCGCGAAAATTATTATTATTATTAAAATTCTATTAATTATTAAAGTTACAATCATTATCAAAGTTTGTAAAATCTCGCGTCTCGTGTACTCCAAGCTAATTACTACCAGCGCGTGCGCAGATAAATGTCCCCAGTGTTAGTCTGGTCAACATTAGCTAATGGCTCACTCGTGCAGGCTCATATCACCAGCGGAAAACTTACATAAAATTTAGAGCAGACCGTAAAACAAAAATGTTTTAAATTTTTGATGCGAAGACCGCTAAAAAATGGAACTTTTACATATGGTGAAAATTTGCCAAAAATTAAAGACCATCGTGGCTGGTTTCGCCCGTGGCAACAAGGAGGAATTTCGTTTTCGACCAATCAACAAGTTTGTTTACATTTTCAGTAACCCAATCAGAGTGCATATGTCTTGATAAAAAGGTACAATATATACTATTTTACATTAAGTATTTAAATTTAGGCATTCTGATTGGCTTTGCCAAAAAATTGAAAATAAATATGGCGATTAGTTTAAAACGAAATTCCTCTCAGTTGCCCCGGGTCACGTTGGAATTTTTTACCGAAACATCTCGATATTATCGAAACGTTTTATTTACCTTTGCAAGTCGACTCGTTTCGACCAGGTTCGCCAATACAGCATAGAAATGATCCTGGGATGTTGGAGCAATATTCGACTGAAAGACACCTGGCAGTAGACTGAGAGCATTCATCGATGTCTATATATACCAGATACAGAGGTTTGAATTTATGTTACGGTTAGATATTCACCTACAGTAGGTTGAGCTTAGGTATAGCTATAGACACTACATGATCTGAGGGTGTATATAAGGGTAACTTCAAACCTTGGCAAATGGTGCCATTCCCAGTAAATCCATCATTGCATGTGCATTGATAAGATCCGTAGGTATTGACGCAACTGGCGCTTGGATGACAGCTGTCAGGCGACAAGCATTCATTGATATCTAGAGATGTGTATTGGAAAGTAATAATCTTTATAAGCAATAACTTAGGGCTGGGAACGTTAAATGCTCTAAAGTTCAAAAAACAATGTACAAGGTCTTCCGTGATTGTGGTAACAACACAAGCAGTTTATATCATAGCAATGCTGATGATGCAGGATAGATCAGGTCCGTAAAAAAAAGTCTGTTTTAACCCTATTATAAGTCCCATTTTGTTCATCTCAGCTTCCAAAAAAGTACATTTTTGATAAGTTATCAACTCTCATGCATGTTTTCAGCCTGGAAGTTTATCTAATCTGCATGCAGACATAAATAAAGAAAACATATGCTTTTGCGCATTAGTGCCACCTTAATATTCTGGACTAGAAAAACATGCATGCAGAACCATATAATTTTTATGTGCACTATACCCGTCGCCATTTCAACCAACAAAATAATCTCCTGGGACTAAATTAGCTATACTCATTGGCAAAGCGTCGATAGCCAGTATATTTTTATCATTAATTTTGCCTTGGTACAAGAGATGGTCATAACATTGATAGTAATTTCACCCGTTTTCTGCTTGGGTCAGCTGTTCAAAAGCAAGTTAGCTTAAACCGGGGTAAAGCAAATTTTTAAATTCATTTTAACCGCTTGTTTACAAAGACTTAAATATCTTTTTTTCATAAACATTTTCTGGACCGATAGAAGTCATATTTTTTAAAGTTTTAAAGCGAGCAGTAGTTTAGAAGCACGTAAACTCAAACACTGGGGCCGGTTGTTCCTAAGCCGTTTAGCTTAACCCTGCATGGGTTTAAGGAAATCTTTACATTAAACTTTTTAATTGCTTGTTTACAAAGTTGAATATCTTTTTTCGTAAATAGTTTTTCACGGGTGGAAGTAATATTTTCTAAAATTCTAGAACGAACAGTGCTTCAGAAGCACATCAACTAAAAAACTGATCATGAGTTAATACTTAACCTAAGGTTGGCGGTAACCTAGCTTTAAGTTATGAAGAATGGTGTAAAAGCCGTTCATAGCCCAATCCAATATGACCTTGGAAAACGACGTATCAAGCTCATTGATATAAATAAACTGCAACCTTCTTTATACAGCAAACACGTAATAGTAAAAAAAAACCCACCGATCGGGGATGATATGGTCAACCGTTTAATAATGTGAAATATTGCCCACCGCAAAGCCAGAAGAGACCTATTTTATTTCCTACATTGAAACTTTGTAGAAAACGAAAGGTTTGGCTTCACATCCCTGTTGTAACTTTATGAATCGTGAGCTAGCTCACTATTAATTTGAGCTATTTTTAACGCAGTCTTTCAATAAAGATATTAATATTATTACTCACCAGAGCAAGAGGCGCCCGTAAAACCTTGTCTACATCTGCATGTGAAACCATTGTCGATGTTAATACATGCAAAGTTACCCCTACAGTTGTGCAATCCCAAGGAGCAATAATCGACATCTATAAACAATAATGAAAAAGAGGAATCTGACTTTGTATGTTTATCATACCACTTTACCCCATTCCTTAGAGCTGCAGAGTTAAATTAGACTATTAAAAATCAGAGGCTATTAAAAAAATCCTCCAAATTTTGCAAATTATTAATGCTCACTGCCTCAATGATAATGATGATGATAACAACATATACTACCACTGTCGACGGTAAAGAAAAAAAGCTGCTATAGATAATATAAAAATCCCTGATAAATTGAAGGTTTTTAGTGCATGTTCCCAACTCATAAAAACATAAAAATGTTGCAAATATCACTGGATGAATGCATAATATTTACTTCATTTAAATCACTCATACAGAATATAATTTCGAAGCTGAAATTTGTATGGATTCAATTATGAAATTGACCCTTTTGCTATATGAATTTAGCGACATAACCTCATTAGTTCATGTGTGCAACTTTTTCCATCATTTTTACTTTCAAATTTTTCCCTTGAATCTTGATTATGTACAAAATTGATTTAAACTGCAAACCTAAACGACAATCTCTTTTACCTTGTGAAGTACATTCCACTCCAGCATCGTCAGAATGTCTGCAGTAATAACTTCTCCATCCCCAATTGAGTCGAGGGCAACTTTCTAAATTTTGTTCATTTCCAGTACAGCGAACGTTGTCCAACCAAATCCTTCCAAAACCATCAGGAACTTGATATCCTCGAAGAGCTCTACGAGCATTCCGATAACCAAGTTGACGACATGCAACGCGGGCATCATTTATGTCCCAATCATTATCACAAATTGTTCCCCATTTTCCTGAATAGAATATTTCCACACGACCAGTGCCACGCGATCTATTTGGTCCTTGTAACCTGAGAGTGGCATCTGAAATTATGGCAACCAGAGTTTTAAAATACAGCAAGCCAGGTCTTTTAGAACAATACACAAAACACGAAGCATTCAGTACCTGTTAAAAAATAGCTACAACATGAGAAGCGCAATGAATGACAACTTGTTTTACCAAAACTAAATACTAGCTTTCTTAATTTTACTATCGCGGAGCAGAAGCTTTGAATGATTACGCAAAATTTACTTGCAGTAACATGTTAATTATAGTTGGGTTCTCTAATAAGGAGGCCAAAGCTGCTTGGACTTAAGAAACACTGCATGGTTCCTATTAACATTTTGAAAGTTGCAGGCACCGATCTAAACCAGCGGAGAACAATTGCTAAATCGGACGACCACAATGTTACTTTCACAGGCTTTAACAACACCAAAGTGAGTCATAAAGTTTCATTTCTCTTTACAGATTTCCACATCTATTGATCGGATTCGAACTCTTCAGGCATCTTTACTCCTAAACTGAGGGGACTTTGTTCGGAATGAAAGAAGGGTGATGGTAATAAGGACACGACTCACGACGCAGCAGATGAAATACTCTTACGACTGCATGCCCTGGTAATAAGTCGTTGCATAATTTTTCATCAATCGCAGGAATTTAATGACGCGTAAGATCTTGAAAGGTTTATGTTTAGAGAAAATTCTATGCAGTCCAATTCGAAGAGGGCGTAAAAGTTTAAACATGGTTTATATTTTGCATTTTTTACATGCAATTCATTTTATACATGCAATCAAAAATAGGTTAAAGAAACGATGGTGAGGCTAAATGAGGTTTATTCATTATCTATCGTTTTATTTGCATTCGACGGGAACAAAATGCGACCTATATACCGTAAACAAGCAAACCTATGGTCACCTTTGCAAATAGAACCAATTCCAGAACTTGGTGTTTCACAGCATTGATAGGATCCTTTAGTATTTGTGCAATTTGCCTTTAAAGGACAGTTGTATGTTGAATCTGAACATTCATCTTCGTCTAAACAAAGTTTTTTAATTTTTATTTACGGCAAGGCAGTGTATTCCTCGATGTTCCTGTGCGGGATACATTCTAAGACCTAGGGAAATTTAATTTGGTATGAAGAAATATCATGCAACTACCTTGGCAGAAGGTTCCATTTCCAGCAAATCCACCATTGCACGTGCATTGATAAGATCCAGGAGTGTTCCTGCAAAAAGCATCTGAGTGACAGTTCCCCGTTGAACATTCATCGATGTCTATGGAAAATTAATAATATAATTAAATCACCGAGAAACTGAGAATGTATCATTAATAATACAATTATTCAACCTGCCCTTGTTTTGAGTAACTGTTCCTAAATTTCTCCCCACCGTTGGTTATGTCATATAGGTCCTCGCGTCGATGAGAATCACCGCGGACCGATATTTTTTTGGTTTGTGGGCCGGCTTACATTTTTAAATAAAGTTTGTAATGAGTATTTATAAGATAAATTTCAGAAATGGAACCTAAATTTATATCATCATATTTCAATAAATTTTTAATATCATTCACTTGAAATCGGAATAACGAGCCAGTTATTTTTAGTCAACACATTTATGCATCAAAGCAAGGACTTATATCACGTGAGCAACGGTGGTCCAGTGAACTTAAATAAGACTGGAACTCACTCTCTGACTTTCCCTCATTAATGAGTGAAGCCAAGATGGCGGATCATGAAGCCTTCCCAGTGAGCTCCACATATATCTGGAGTAAGACCTTAAGACTTCCGTGAGGCCAAAAAGTGAAGCCAAAGATGGCGGATATTGAGGCGCTATAGTACGTCAGTTTCAGTCTTCCTATGTGTGCGTGGTCAACCAAATTCGTATTTTTAACTTTATTTTTTCCTATTTTTGAGTAAAAAATGAGGGTAATTTCAATGAAAGGTGTTATACAAAAGCTTTGTATTGAGATACTTTCATATTTCAATTAAATTAACAAGGAAATAAGAGAGATATCTTACACGGAAAACTAGGGAGTGACGGATTGTTGATGTTTTCGCCTTTTCGCAAATCACAACATTTACTCACAGAATATGCTTCCGAAAAAAACATAAATAAAACTCTTCTCAGTTTAATTCATCTATATAAGTCTTTCATTCATGTAAAAAATTAATAGGAAAGAAAATTATGCTGAAAAACGTACGAGTTTGAAATAATACTAATATATGATTATGAAATTTATAAACAAGACTCATAATGCACGTATAAAAGAAACCTTAAAAAGAGCCATGTGCCAGGAAAGCTGGCCAAAAAATAAAGGACAACTAGTGTTGAAGCGTTTCGAAAGCAAAAACGAAACAAGAAATTCGAAACATAAGGTGGAAATATATGAAAATAACTCAAAATTAAACAAATCTGAAATGCGTAGTTGAATTTACGGCGAAAAATGCATATTTACTCACTCGTACAATGCGGCACCCACATCGGGTAGATGCAGAGAAACAGATTCTCAGTAAAATGAATAATTTTTTTCTATTCTTGTGCTCTCAAAATGATGAAAAACACGAAAATCTGAGGGTTTCGGGAACGTCACTCCTGGTCAAAAACAATGAGAAATATTTGGCCGCGCGAGTTAGGAGACTGAAACTGACGTACTATAGCGCTTCAATTTCCGCTATCTTCGGCTTCACTTTTTGCACCCAAAGTTCTTACTCCAGATATATGTGGAGCTCACTGAGCCTTCCTTGTAGGTATGATCCAGGCCTCTGGCGCGGAAATTTCTAAGGAAAAATAAAAATTGCGCCATTTTACCTACGAAATTTCCGCGTGGAGGCCTGGGTCATACATACAAGAAAGGCTTTTTCCGACAGAGTCAGCGTTCCAGTCTTTTTTGCTCCTGATTAAATAGGTCACGCATTCCGTCCATCTTGGTTTTCTCTATGGCACAAAATTTTGCAACTTGGAAGTAAAGGTGCACTATTATTATTCGTAAAAATTATGTGCTGTTATAATAATTATTCGTAAAAATTATGTGTTATTTTAATCAGTATTCGTTTGTGTTTTCGTTTACGTTTTCTTCTGGAGTCGCTCCTTTTTTGGCCCAGACGCGACAGTCATTTTGTCTTGACTGGAGCCTATTTGTCGCGACACACAAAACGCACCAATTCGACCATCTCCGACGTGATTACCTTTGGTTTGTTCGCTGTGGGTTAAATTGAGAGGCAGGACGAAGCATAGACTATGAGATATGGAGTCTAATTCTTAACACTGGTTAGCTTGCGCATAGTTAAGATGCAAGTTGTAACAAATTGCTCATGTAGTGCTACATCGCTTACCAGAGCAAGTAACGCCGTTCCCAGTGAAACCTTGATTACATCTGCATGTAAAGCCATTGTCAGTGTCGATACATCGAAAATTACGTCCACAGTTGTCCAATCTCAAGGAGCAATAATCGACATCTATCAACAATAAAAGAAAACGTAAAAGTAAAAAAAACTGAAAGGAATCTCGTTTTTAAATTTATCATCCGCCTAAAGCTTTTTTTACGTTTGCGAAACATTTTGCTTTTTTTAAACTCGTATTATTTTATATAATCTCAATGTGATCTCACGAGTATTTAGGGCGATTTAAATGGTGTACATTACAAAAAAGTTAAATCAGGGTATTCTCGCATAAAATTAAATTCCGGCAGCATCTTTTAACTTTTTTGACGCTTGGTTCGTGCGAAGGCGGCACGGCCACAGTACGTATGGCACACACAATTTTTTTTTTTTAGAAAACTGTAGAAAACAATCTCAAGCAGTAAAAATACAAAGAAAAAGCTTGCAGATATCGTTTGTAAACTCCGGGAAATCGTGCTACATGGCTACACATCTTGCAACAAGAAGGAATTCATACAACCGGGAGAAATCTAGGCCGATTAGAGCCATCCAGTAACAGAAAAATTGTAGTTATTTTCCAGTTTCCAATAATAGTAAAATAATTTTGCACTTTTACATTTATAGTAAGTGACAATAACTAAGCACCAAAATCCCGATCACCGCTGAATTACAAAGACCGTAGAAGTAAGAAATTTCGCTACAGGTTTCAAATTTTTGCAAAACAAAACTTTTTTTGGTTGTTTTTCGCAGTCAGCTGAAGCCCGCATGAAAGTTATAGCTAACCTCTGCTGACCCAGAGCAAGGTAAAAGGCCCTGGGAACGAGGTTGCAACCTCTGGTGACGTCAGTTTTTTAGGCATTTTAAAGTTTGCCACTGAAAACCCTTCACCCAGAGCATCAAGTTGTGCAGCTAATGTTAATATCTGAAATGTTTATGCATTTTAAAATCATATAAAGACTGCCGTAATGCATATACGTATACAGGCATTTGCTTGTACTCTTGAGTGTGAAATGCTTGAAACAAGACTTTTCCTTCCTTTCTCTTTTCCATCTTGGTCTCTTGTCGCACAAGCTATCTTGGTCTTGGAATTACTAATTACCCACTAATCTATAAGCGACAATCTCGTTTACCTTGTGAACTACATTCCACTCCAGCATCCTCGGAATGACTACAGTCATGTCTGCCCCATCCCCGATAGTGATGAGGACAACTTTCTAGATTTTGTTCATTTCCAGAACAACCAACTTCGTCCAACCAAATCTGTCCTGAACCAGAAGGAACTTGCCATTCTCGAAGAGCTCTAAGAGCATTCCGATAACCAAGTTGACGACAGGCAACGCGGGCATCATTTATGTCCCAATTATCATCACAAATTGTTCCCCATTTTCCTGAATAGAATATTTCAACACGACCAATGCCTTGTAACCGGGATGGTCCTTGTAACCTGATCGACTTATCTAAAATAATGACAATAAATTAATATAATAATTATAGACATAGCTGGTCATCAATGACTGGGTTTATCAGGAGCATTAAAAAAAGGCCGCGCGAATGCATTTTGCGGTTGTGGCATTCTACATGTACTATATATATTCTTACCCCAATTAAATCTAAACTTAATCGAACAGCATCAAAAGGATGGTTTATTTGTTCCTCGTGGAGGAATTGCGAAATCAAATCGCACATCGAAAAATTAGTCACAGATTTCGAGCAGTGCACGGTGTACCACAACTCTTGGGAGACAAAACTGTGACGTAGATAAATACGGTCACATACACTTTTCAAATTCTAGTATATTTCGCGCGAAAACACACTTGGGTCGACGAAAAATAATAAAAAAAACAAAAAGAAAACAAAACCTAGGCGAATTTTCAACTCCGTCGCTCACGCTAGAGTACAATAAATAAATAATCTGGGGTCACCTCTGCAAATAGAAGTATTTCCAGAATTTTCTGTTCTGCAGCATTGATAGGATCCATTAGTATTGATGCAGTTTGTTTCTGAGGCACAATTGTGTTTTGAATTAGAACATTCATCGATGTCTAAACAAAAATATTTTTATTTACAAGAAAGCTGTATTCCCCAACGTTTGTCCTGAACGCGTTGTAAGACCCGAGAAAATCATAATTTTGTATGAAAAATAATCATGCCTTGGCAAACGATTCCATTTCCAGTAAATCCACCATTACATGTACATCGATAAGACCCATAAGTGTTCACGCAAAAAGCATCCGAATGGCAGTTGTTTTCTGTTGAGCATTCATCCATGTCTAGATAAGATATTACCCCTTGTCATTGCTCTAATAAAAATTTGAAGCTGTTTTTATTGATAGTTTATTTAATGATATCAAAATTCATGGTATCAAAAATACGCGTATTTGCGGGGCTAGCACCAGTAAACTGTAAAAATATTGGAACAATAATTTGGTCGCAATCTTTGAAATCTAATTGATCACGAAGGTCAAGAGTTTTCACATCCAAAAAATTGCGCCACCACATCATCTGGGAGAAAACGAAAGCTTAAAACAGGTAGTAACATGCACATGCATAGGCTACACAAGTTTCTTGAAATTGGTAAGGTTTAGACCTATCTTCTTGCTAGTTGAAGACGACGTTTTTTTTCCTCGTTCAAATTCTTCAAATTTTTCATGAATAAATCTGGTACCTCGCTCGTTACTACATAAAGTTAAATGATTTGGATTACTTAGTTCTTTGCGTAGAAAAAGGTAAATTCAAAGTGAAATTGGTTAATTAAGAAATGTACGCTAGTTTATGGCAAATTTTTGCTCAAAAAGGGTTAGTTCGTTGTTGAAAGTTATTTGGTCAATTAAACAATGTACGCCAGTTTATGGCTAATTTTTGCTAAAAAATACAATTTTGAAGGAACTTCTCACTCCT